CAAAGTTGTTACTTTGAATCTAGGTTTTTTTTCTTGCCAGTGTCCATGGTGATATTGCAGGATAGAAAAGATTTAAGCATGAAATAGGCATGTTACAAGTAGATTTCTTGGCTTTGTAGAAAGGCACATTTAAGTAAACCTTGCTTGGTGGCACAAACCTGTTACCCAGCACTCTGGGAAGCCAAGGCAGGAAGATAGCAAGTTTGAGCCCAAAGGGAGCATCTTAACAGCTTAGAAAAACCCTGTCTCAGCATTGAAAATGTATATAACAGATACATCCCAGGGTTATACCCTCCTCACCCCTGCAAAATTTTGTGGTAACCATGGATGGTTATGGAATACACACTTGTATTCACAGCTCCTTAGGCTGAAGCAAGAGGACTCCCATTACAATCCCATCCTGGGCACCTTAGTAAGACCCTATCTCCTCTAGAAATAAAAAGGCCATCCTGGCTTATAGCTCAGTGGCAGAGCACTTGCAGAACATAGAAGAGTAGTTTACACAGTGCTAGTCGGTTTTGCTCTTTACTAGTTACATTCTGGTTTCCACTTGTGAAGAGTTCACATATAAAATGAGGTTATCTAAATATGAAAATATGTCCAGAAAGAGTTCATTTCTACTATCTAAATAGTGGTAATTTGGGAAACCATTCTTGTGATCCTTGTTCCTTCATCAGCGTTTTTCTGAGTCTCCCAAGTTGCATGTAACCTGGGACAGTATTAGTGCCCTTACCTTATGACCTGAACCAAGATAAACACAGAGCAAGTTGCTTGCAAAAACTAACATCTGAAGTTTTATTTGTCTATTACTTTAGTGATAAATTGCATTTGCTATGTTTACACCATAAAAGAAGTTGAAATGCAACAGAAGCAATGAGTGAGAAGAGATTTAAAAGTCTATCTATGTTTGAGATTTGCTGTGAATCTTCCTAGTCAAATGAGTCCATTTTTCTACTGTCATGTGTGCAAATTTACCTTTTTACTCAAATCACTCATGGACTGTGTAATTCCAAGATGACCACCTATTTCCACATATTTATTATTACTGCTCTTAAATTTTATTTCTGAATAAACACACTTGTAATTTATTGGCTTGATTTTTTTGAGTTCACCTGGTAATCTGTCCATTCCTGCATTATACAATTGTATTCTCTATTGGTGTCATGAGGTGCAGGAAATGCCACTGAGAAGCTTTGCAGGAATCATTTAATCTGAATTACTTCTGATTCCCTGTGTTTGTTGTGTTGGCTTAAGTATATATTTCAGTGAGTACCTGCAACTGTCTTGAAATCCCAGTTAGAGTATCCAAATGGAAAAAGAATTGTGAAAGGCAAGGGAAAGAATACCTTGATCCTGAAATTGTAAGATTCTTTTGTTCCAGAAAGCCCTACAGTAACACATTCTCTAAACAAAAGACCCACTATGCCTTTGACTTTTTATTTCTACCAATAATACAGGGGATGAAAATGTTGGATAGCAAGGTGAATGAAAATAAAACCTAGTGCTTTTCAAAATTTGGAAAGTTCTGTTTCTTTCACTCAAACAAAAATGGAGCAGAATGTGCAAAAATTTCATTGACCTGTAATGATAAAGTAGACACAAAAATATTGTTTATGCCTCAGCGTGGTGGCACATTCCTGTACTCCCAATACCCTGGAAGGCTGAGGCAGGAAGATCACATGTTTGATTCCAGCCTTGGTGACATGATCCCAGTGATATCCTGTCAGAAAATTTAATATAAAGGGTGGAGGATATAATTCAGAGTGAAGGTCCTGGCTTCAATCACCAGTGCTGCAGAAAAAAATACATGTCTTTCTGGACTGAAATAATGACAGCTGAACTGAGTCAAGTGATATAAAGAACAAAATATTTAATAAAGTCAGTGAGTGAAAAGTAAGTTTTCCTTTACATCAAACTTTCTTTAAAGGTTGAAGGAAAAAGAAAGAGTGGAAAAACTGACACCCATCAGTTGCCTACTGAGAAGAAAGAAGAACATGATAGGTAAGACTATGGAAATATTTGACCATAAATAGTTACTGTTCTGTACAACAAAATCTAACGTGAGCCTGTATTTGTGATTAAGAAGTTATTTGCTTTTACTAGAGATACTCAGCTTTGAATGACTGTCAGAAAAATACAGACAATTTAGATATCATTTTTCCAATTATCTTGAGAAATGTTTTTTAAACATTTGGATGAATTAGCCAGTCTGAGGAAACAGACATCATTATGTACTGTTAGTAAGTGAAATTATTAAGTGCATTTGAACAATTTAATAGCATTAATTAAATCTCAATGATTTCATTGTTTTAATCTAATGCCTTCTCTTATGAAACTGAATCCTTCTTGGAAAGGAATACAAGATCCATGATCACACACATGTACATAGCTATTAAAGACATTTAATGTACATATCCTCTAGGCTAAAATTGGTGAGTGTATATACTTCATATACATAATATGAACATTAAGCTGGTATAACTGGTTGATAATAATTATGTAAATGTGTTACCTATATACATTCATATGTTCAAGGATTAACTATTAACATTCTCATAAAGTGTGAGATAGTCTAGATGCTTAGCAGTAAGGAAATAATTGAATTGCTATATCCATAAAATAATATAGCATGGAGCCTTTAGATAATATTCATTGTGATTATTTCACAAAATATTTTTAAAGCATTGTTTAATAATACATCTTCAGCAAATTTGCTGTAATACTTGTTATATGTGCTAAGTTGCCAAAGAAAGTTGCAGGCTGCACTGAAGATCTTATTACCAAGAAATTTGGTAGCTGTTAGACTTTTGCTTTTTCTCAGGATATAAGTACTATAATCTGGACCTTCATGTTCATCTGAATATTGCCAAAGGATTGCATGAAGATCCATGATTGATTAGTTTTCAGTATATTAGGTAAAAATCCTTTAAAATGTCACCAAAGGGTCTTTTAGTAGTAAATCAGGAATTAACTTTTTTCTGCAAAGATTGAGTAGTAGATATTTTAGGCTTCATGGCATGAAATCTCTTTTGTGGTCATCTAGAATCTGAGGTAGACAACAAATGAATGTCTGTGGCTACATTTCAGCAAAATTGATCTACAGAGCTGAGGGATAGTTCTGTATTAGAGCGCTTGCCTAACTCACAAGAGGCCTTGGGATTCGTCTCCAGCACTGCCAATAAAGAAGAATTTATTTTAAAGTTAGATGATAGACTGGAATTGCTCCACTGACAATGATTCACTAAACCTTAATGCTAAACCCTAGTTTGCTGCTAATGTACTAAGCCAGTCTTTTAAAGTTTCCCACGTGTACATCATTGTCTCATTTTTACAGATAATGCACTCCACTGTATTTTTCAGCAGTGAATATAGAAAACTTACAAAATTCAATTTATAAATTAAAGTTACTTTATTTCCCTTCCTCATACATATTTTATGTTTTTCCTGTCTTATTTGTTGTTGTGGAGTGTATACTTTACTGTCGTCCATAGAATTTGTGTGTATTTACTACAATATCACCAGTGCATACAAAAAGGTGTAGCACACAGTGAGTAGCTAGTCAGTATTTACTCAGTGTGAGTAGAGTTTACTCCGTGTGTATTATTTTAAACAGTAGGCTAATTTGTCACTTACAAAAGTTTGACTTAGGAAGCTGAGGCAGAAGGATTGCAAAAGCGAATCCTGCTTAAGAAGCTGAGCAGGTCCTTGCCTCAAAATAGAAAGGGACTGGGGGTAGCGCTCAGTGTTAGGACACTCTTGATTCAACCTCCTGTACTAGAAAAAAGGGTTCAGGAAGAAAATTCATTCTGAAAGTTTTAGTTTTTACTCTACATTAATATTTTTTTCATTTAGGAAGAAATTTTGAATATTGTGATTCTTCATTCTTTTAGGGTAGTTTCACTTACAGTACAGTGGATTAAAAGAATTGCAGGCTTCATTTGTAGTTTATTAAGAAAAATAAAACACAAAGATAGTAAATTTAATAGGCTTCAAAAAATATCATGGCCAAAGGACTAAAACTTTCTAAACTGAAATTAAAAGACAAAATTGGAATGTACTGTGTTGCTTCCTCTGGAAAGAGAGAGCTATGCTGGTTGGGCATGGTGTTGTTATAACACAGGTGCCTGAGTGCTACCTCAGTTCTTGATCTTGATTTTTTTCTGTGATTCTGGTTGCAAACTGAGTTGAGTCAGAACCAAATAAAAGTTAGTGGTTGAGCTGAGCATGGTGGCACACACCTGCAATCCAGCAAGTTTGACTTTGGATGCTGAGACACGAGGGTTGCTGTGAGTTTGAGGCTTGTCTTGGCTACATAAATGAGTTCTAGGCCAGCCTGTACCTCATGGTAAGATGCTGTCTCTAAAATTTTTTTGTTCTATGGGTAGGTTCAGTGTTGATCTTAATTGGTTTAGATTTGATTTAGTTCTTGTCCAGTTTGTTTTGCCATCAGGATTGTGGAGACAATTGAGTTTGTGAACCCAGGTACCATTGTATATGATTTTGCAAAGAGTAGAATTTAAAAACTGGCCAAACTTCAGAAGGAAAGTGATTTTCCATCTGTAGCTATATTAGTGTGCCTTGCAGGAAGCAAAGTGTTAGCATTAAGTGGTTGTTTGGTTGGATGCTTGGTTGTTTGGTGGGTGAAGCCAATGACAGTTGACTGAATCAACACGGGGTTGCCACAACTCCAGTCAGTCCTTTCGTAGGCTTGGACTAATTTCAACCCAATGCTTTGTTTAAAAATTATTTTTCATCTACTGCTTAAAATGAACAATTTCATACTCTAGAGTTGTAACCTTGTTTTTGAATTGAGTTGCTTAAATGACTTTTTATTTTTAAAGCAGTGGACCCAACGTGCCTTTGAGGAAAGTAAAGAATAAACATAAACAGCAGCACTCCACGGAATCTGTGACTTCCTTAGTGTCTAACAAGGCCCGTTTCCTGTTTGCTAGTCTCCAACAAGTGATGTGTATTTAAAGATTACAAGACACTGTCAAAGATGGAGGAAGTTAAAACCTCTGTAAATGTTTTATTTTCCTTTAATGGAATGTTAGCAGGAATTGCTTTTCTAGAAATAAAACAGAACAGTGTAGTCTACAGGGAAAGCAAGAGGATACCCAGCCTCATCATTGCTGCAGAAAGATTGGCTAAGAGAAGCACAAATGAATTTGACAAAGAGCAGTTTCAACACTGGTCACACAGGAAGCTGACTACCGGGGACGATCGGCAACACTAGACACCTTTCACTGGGAAAGTTAGGGAAGCAGGTGTTCTGAGCAAGAATGCAGCATTTAAGAGTTGTTTTCTTAAGATTTTAGAGTGTATTCATACACCACTAGAAACCATCAGTAGAGAAAGACATGTTTATTCATTTTAATTTTTAAGAATATTTGTAAAACTCAGAAATTATGTGATTATAACTGACAATGGATGCTGATATGGGTTAACACAGTCACAGTGGAGCCACACTTGCATGCCTTTCAGTGCTGCCCAGCAGGATAGTCATGCCTGTGCCATCAGTGTTTGAAGCTGTGGGAAATGTCAATGTGGTCTTAACATCACTTAACAACACTAAATGCTTAAAGGTAGTTATTTCATAACATAAGGTATACTCCCACGATGTCACAGTTCAGAGTTCTCAGCCTCACTCTTTCACTGATTTTTAGTTGGATCCTAACATTTTTTCACAGAGCCCCCCACAGTTTCATGGCAACCACAGGGATCCTCCACAAGGAGTTTCTGGCAGGAGGTTTGCGAGTAGTGCATTCACACGTTACTCAGTTCTTCTGGCTTTGGAGTGCTTGCTGCCTTGTAACCCATCTCTGCATTGTAACAGGTTGATGCACTGCATGCGTCTGTCTCCATTGTTGTCAGTTGTGTTCTTAAAAACCCTAAGATCCCAATGATGCTGCCAAAATGCCCCACACTAAAGTTTCATCAATACAATATTTTATTAAATTATGTAATTCCAGAAGTCATAGCATATTTATAGAGTTTAAACTATAAAAAAGGCATTGATAAGCATTTTTATGATCATATCTGAAATTTGCAGTCTTTTGCAATTGCAAGTGCTCTAGGACCAGTACTGTGCATTTAGGGGATCCACTGTACTGTGGAACATGCCTGGGTTTAAATTCTTACTGTCTGTACTTGCACCTGTGCAAGTTACTTGGCATATCTTCACCTACCTTAGTGATGTATAAAATAAGATGTTACCTCTCAGAATTGTGTTTCACACACACACACACACACACACACATACACACTCTTCAAGTAGGTGTGCCCTTTGGAAGAGATTAAATTGAAAGATATAAAATATGACAGATAGGAAGGAAAAATATTTGAAAGCATTTCATTAGGATACTAAATCAACATATACAGCCAGATCATAGCTAGAACTTTATATTTTCTAAAAAATGCATGTTATATTTTCTTCTATTTTGACATGAATAAAACAATAAATAAAACCAATCAAAACAAAACAGTGAAAGTGATACACAACTTTAAAACCAGACCATAAGAAATCAACAATGGCTACCATAATGCCTCTTGTTGTCTTCAAAATAGCCGGCCATACCATCAGACATTATAAAATGAAACAAAACAGAACAGAAACCAATCGAAACAAAACAATGAAAACAATGGAAGACTTCAAAAACAAGATAATAAGAAATCACCATCAGCTTCAATAGTATGTCTTGTTATCTTTGAAATAGCTGTCAATAAACAGAATAAAATGAAACAAAGTAAAACAGAATAAAACTAAAACAAGCCAAACAAAACCCTGAAAGTGATACAGAACTTTAAAACAAGATAATAGGGAATTAACAGTGGCTTTCACCTTTAGAAGGAACTCTCCCATAGCTGCTATACTGCATATTATTTTCCACCAAGTAAATGCTCAGAGCACTGGGCTAGGCCTGCAAAGTGAAATGCTAAACACTACAGGCTTAAGTTGTTTTTCTTCCTGCCTCAGTAGCTATTATCCCAGCCTGTATGTCTGTGGTCAGCTGGTTGCTTGCAGGGGTTGGGAGGGGCTCAGCTCTTATCTCCCAGCCCAACTGCTGGCTCACAGGAAGCCATTGGCTTCATATTTCTACTTCCCTTGGCCTGTGACTGTCACTGACTCAGAGGAAGGGGTTGGCTTCTTGATCCACTTAAAAAATACACTTTAAATATGCAGGTTTCACTTCAGACTTGTCTTAAAAGAAGAGGACAAGAGAAAAAGTCTCAAGGAAAAATGTTCTCAAGAAGTTGAAGCAAAACAACAGCTTGAAATTTCTTATGAAACACTTGAAATGGAATTCAAAGCTTCAAAAGTGAATCAGGTAAATTAATCTTTGATGAAAATTTTATATTGCTGTTGTATCGGCATTGTAGTATTTCTTTGATTGCATATTGACTCATGCATTGCTTACATTGAGAATATGATCCAAAGCATGTGTGGTTTGTTATTTTCATTATTATCCAAATGTAAGCAGGTGGCCACACACACTTACATCTCCCACATCACTGGGCAATATCGTTTCAAGGACCATAGTTGAGCGTGCAGTCCATTGTTGAGCAAAACATTCTTATACATCACACGTCCCTATTATGTGGGTTGAAAACAAAATGTTAAATCACCCTCAGAAAACCTCACATATACAGCTAACTGTATTTATTATAAATGTTGACATCTAATAGCTCAGTTTGTTTACTGAATAAAGAAATGAAAGGAGTTTAATCATGAACACAAGTGTCAATTTGAGTATTCTTATGATTTAGCTAACTTTGAAGCTAGTGAAGTGTTTCTTAATGAAATTTTATTTTATACCATTCGTGCCTATATTTAATAAATGCTTTCACTCTTTAACAAATTTTAGGTTTCATTTATGCAATTTAATATTCACAGCCTTGCATGTTGGCACTCACCTGTAATCGCAGTCCTGGGAGGCTGAGACAGGGTGAGTGCTATGAGTGCTAGGCCAGGTGGCATGAAATAGCAAGACTGTGGCTCAAAAAACTATTAAGGACTTAATTATACTATAACCGATAATTTCTTTGAAACATTGACATAATAGCATTGACAATACTTTAAGAAATACAAAATTGAAAGTACGCAATCTAATGGAGAATTTCATGTCAACTGATCATATTTTCCTTACCATGAAAAAGTGGAGTTTTGCCTTCATCACATAGCTATGCACAGGATTCACAGACCAGGCATTTGACCAACCTAAAAGCTCTTGTGAAGTACCATACCACACCTTTCATTTGAACATCAGACTGCTTTCTGAAGAGGCCTAGCAGTTGCTACAAATGAATTGATTTGAGGACCTTTATTTAGCAGCAGGGCCCAATAGTCTTAGCTCAGTGGGTTAGCCTCCTCTCATGGGCATGTTATGTACATACTGCTTAACCCAGGAAGCACTGTTTGCGTGATCATTGCCCACTGGGCACTGCTATGTGAGAATAAGCTGTGAGTTGTTACAAATGAAGTGCCACTGACTACTTGAGCTAACTGATGAGTCTCACTGGACTGCAGGGATGTCTTTTGGGCTGCATACCCTGCATTTATTGCCACTTTCATCATGAGTGACCAGTTCAGCTTGCACAAAAAGCCTGTCCGATTGTCCACCACCTGCCAAAAACATCACATTTTGCTTTCTCTCCCCTGAGGTCAGCTGAGGAGGCCCCTAGGAGCAGGAAAGTATCTCCCTTTTTCCTTCCTCCCGTCCACCTGTGCCTTTCTCACTACAGCCCAGTACAGAGTCCTGGGCCATTCTGAAAACTCCAGTATTTCCTCTTCACCTTCCAGACAGTTCTGGCACTGGTGAATGAACCCAGGGTCCTCCACAGAGCTTCATCCATGGGCCATTTTTGTTTCTTTCTGAACAGGGCCTCTCTAAGTTGCCCTGGGCTCAAATGAGCTAGCCTCATACATGAGCCAACCCTATTGCTAGGACTATAGACATGTGCCACTATACCTGGATTAATAAATTTCTTTTGGGTTATTGGAGACAGGGTTTCGCTGCATAACCAGGCTGGCCTTGAATTTACTGTGCATTTCCAAGGTGGTCTCGTGGTTACAGTAACCCTGTTGACTCAGACTCCTGAGTGACAGAATCACAGCTGTGTGACATGAAGCCCAGCTTCTGATTTAAATTTTGAGAGATCTTCTGACTAAATTATCAAGACTGCACTTGACCTGAGGAAACTTTTGCCTCAGCTTTCCTATAATATCAAACTTTATCAAAACAGAAAACACAATAATACCTAATAGGAAAGATTTTATAGAGCTCCCACTGCTGGTGACTGGTGGAGTTGGAACTCTGGCCCAGGCATGCTGGTGTCTGTCTAGATACTGTTTCTCCAACAGTTCCTGGAGACATCTAGATGTTACTGCAGTGTCATTTCTGTATTATTATCATTGGAATTGCTCTTAGTCATATAAGCATTATTCATATCATAGTTGATAAATAGTACTTGGAATCCATAAAGTAGGATGTAATGCGTGGAATGTAAAAATACAACTAAAAGGACAGCACAAGTAAAGGGACTTCCTCTTTCTCTCCATTTTACCAAAACTTTCACTTTTATAGTTTCCTGCAAAAGAGTTGTCTCCCCCAGTTTCCCAGGCTGGTCTCGAGCATCAGCTTACCAAGCAGCCAGGAATGCAGGTCCATAGCACTGTGCTAACCTTCTAGTTTTGTCAGTTTGAGGACCTACTAACAGGTCTAAAATCAGGAATATAATATGTTTCAGACCTAGAGCTGGGGTCGGTAACTTAAGTAGTGGGGAGAGGGTGTTACTTTGTAAGGTGTGAGCCATTGGATCCCTGCGTCAGCAGTTCAGATAACCATGTAGACACAGCACAGAGGTAACTATAAACCATACGGAGGTGGAGCATTATAGCTGTGTCCACTACAGTTATGAAACAAACACCAGGGATGGGCAGGTTATTAAAAAGCATTTTTGTTAATTTTCAGTTGACAGAAGCACAAGATCAAGGTACAAGCTCTGTGCAACATGATGAAAAAATGGAAGAACCCTTAGACAGGTATGGCTTAACCAAATGAGTTGAGCATCTATAAAGGAAATCAGCAGCATAATATGAGACATATTGCAGTTATATAAGTACTAAATCTTCATTAGGCCAGGGGAAAATTCTAGCTTTGATAAATGTACCTGAAAGGAGTAATTTAGGGGAGCAGAAATAGTACAGTGAGGAGAGAGCATGTGCTTTCCACGTGGAGCCCTGTGTTCATTCCCAATAATGCAAAAGAAAAAGTGTCAACAAGCCCAATAAGAAAAATGTTACTTACCAAGTCATCTACTTTTTCCAACTTTTAAAATTGTGAGTAGTCTTTCAAAGGTTATGTGACTTTTTTAACAGATCTGTGCAAATAATTATTTTGAAACAAATATTTTAGGAATGAATTGGAGTGTTTACGCCTAAAAGAAAATGTGAAAAGTCCCGAAATGGAGATTTTGAGCCTGAAAAAGAAAAGGAAGAAACCAGCAGAAAAACGTGAACGAGCTTGGAAACACTTCTTCAGCAAGAGATTGGTAAGTGCATTTCTTTTTAATTTCTATCGTTCTAGAAAGCAGTTCCTCCTCTGCTAGTATGTAGGAATATTTTAGGCACTATGAAAATCTTACTGATAAAAACACTTGTAATCGTATTGATACCTCCTTACTAGCAGTAGTGAAGTCCTCCTAACTTTATGGAAGATAAATGGTTACATGCAATTCATGACTTTGGCAGTGATATTTTAATAGAAAAGATTTTTTATAGCCTAAAATCCCTATTTTACACATATCACATTTGTTTATCCATTATCCATTAAAGGATTTGAGAGTTATTCCCACACTTCTTTGGGAATAATGCTGATCTGGACATTGATATATTACTGTGTGTCATGAGTCTCAGCTAATATGATACAATAACTTTTAAAATTCCAGGAAATTGAATTGCTGAATCTAAGACTTTGAATATCTGTTGCAATGAAAGCTTTTCCATGATATTTTGTAATTTATATGGTCACCAAGAATGGATAGTAGGGCACTACACAAGCATTTTCCCCAGAGACACTGTATTTCTCTTTGACTGTAAGCAAGGAAAAAGATGCCAGTAACAAAGTAGAAATGGATATTTGTCTTACTGAGGAACTAGTGGTCCTAGCATTGCAGTTTCATGATTTTTCCCCATTGATTAGTGTTTATCAGCCATTTAAACTTGTCCAGTCTAAGAGGAATGCATAAGACTGGGTGACAGTTTGTTGATGTGTAATGAAAACCATGTACCTCTTGACCAGGCAGAGCAGATTCTCCTGTGGCCCGTGTTCTCCTGTGTGGGAATTAGGACCACAAGGACACATTGTGTGCATGGAAGTGAAGATGTGAGGTGGCTCCTTCCACTGACTGATTTCTTAAAGTCACAGCAATTTGATCCATTGAGCTCCATTATACAGATGCTTGTTGCTATGTCTCCTGCCTACCTGTCCCCCAAACTCTCATGGAGCTATAGATGGGTGTTTTCCATAGGAGACTACATCTGTAGAATATGATGTTGGGATTCAGGATATGTGATTACGAAGTTGGTCCACCGGTTGGTTTGGCATAGTTCTGGGATCAAGTGTGTGATGTTAAGATTAAGGGTATGAGTGCTACCTGCCCTAAAGGTGAGTACCTGGATAAGATGTAGGGACAGAAAAAAGCTTGATCCTGCTGCTGCTGCTGCTGCTCCTGCTTGTCTTCTGGTCCGTGATGCCCCTCTGCAATGCCGCCCTGTTCTGGAGCCAGCCTACTATGAACTGAAACCTCTATAAACTGTGAACTCTGAACCTTTCCTCTCCTAACTTGTGGGTCTGGTTATTTTGTCTCAACAACAAGAAAAGACTTGTTATAAGGGAGCTACAGAATTCTGCCTAGTGTTTTCTATGATGAAATGTGGAGAAACAATTTTTTCTAGAATTCAAATAAATTAGTCCTGCTGTTGTACTATACTTTTCATACACATAACATGCTGACATGTTGATAAGGTTTCATTTGTGAATTAAAATGCCAGGGGCCATCATCTTACTTTAAGTGTCATATACAAAGGTATTGAGATGTTGCAAAATTGGTAGTGGTACCATATAAAACTGGAAAATATTCAAAAAAGACAATGTGGTCCATTGGAAAGCAACATTAAAAAAGAAAGACAAGGTGAATTATGATGGGTGGCATTCTAACAGTGAGGCCTCCAGCCCTAGATTAGAAGATCACAAAATTCAGATTGAAACCCATGTGAGTCACTTTGCCATGTGTAGGACTCAGGTCAGAAGGAATCCATACCAAATAATTGCTGATGAGGTTTTGTTCTGGGAGAAGTAAACTAAAAGGAAGAAGGGAAAGTGTAAATGACCCCTGTGCCGAGACATTTTGTGTACCCCAGGCTGGCCTTGAATTTACTGTGCCTCTCCAAGGTGGTCTCATGGTTACAGTAACCCTGTTGACTCAGCCTCCTGAGTGACAGAATCACAGCTGTGTGACACGAAGCCCAGCTTCTGATTTAAATTTTGAGAGATCTTCTGACTAAATTATCAAGACTGCACTTGACCTGAGGAAACTTTTACCTCAGCTTTCCTGCAATATTAAACTTTATCAAAACAGAAAACACAATAATACCTAATAGGAAAGATTTTATAGAGCTCCCACTGCTGGTGACTGGTGGAGTTGGAACTCTGGCCCAGGCATGCTGGTGTCTGTCTAGATACTGTTTCTCCAACAGTTCCTGGAGACATCTCGATGTTACTGCAGTGTCATTTCTGTATTATTATCATTGGAATTGCTCTTAGTCATATAAGCATTATTCATATCATAGTTGATAAATAGTACTTGGAATCCATAAAGTAGGATGTAATGCGTGGAATGTAAAAATACAACTAAAAGGACAGCACAAGTAAAGGGACTTCCTCTTTCTCTCCATTTTACCAAAACTTTCACTTTTATAGTTTCCTGCAAAAGAGTTGTCTCCCCCAGTTGCCCAGGCTGGTCTCGAGCATCAGCTTACCAAGCAGCCAGGAATGCAGGTCCATAGCACTGTGCTAACCTTCTAGTTTTGTCAGTTTGAGGACCTGCTAACAGGTCTAAAATTAGGAATATAATATGTTTCAGACCTAGAGCTGGGGTCGGTAACTTAAGTAGTGGGGAGAGGGTGTTACTTTGTAAGGTGTGAGCCATTGGATCCCTGCGTCAGCAGTTCAGATAACCATGTAGACACAGCACAGAGGTAACTATAAACCATACGGAGGTGGAGCATTATAGCTGTGTCCACTACAGTTATGAAACAAACACCAGGGATGGGCAGGTTATTAATAAACATTTTTGTTAATTTTCAGTTGACAGAAGCACAAGATCAAGGTACAAGCTCTGTGCAACAGGATGAAAAAATGGAAGAACCCTTAGACAGGTATGGCTTAACCAAATGAGTTGAGCATCTATAAAGGAAATCAACAGCATAATATGAGACATATTGCAGTTATATAAGTACTAAATCTTCATTAGGCCAGGGGAAAATTCTAGCTTTGATAAATGTACCTGAAAGGAGTAATTTAGGGGAGCAGAAATAGTACAGTGAGGAGAGAGCATGTGCTTTCCACGTGGAGCCCTGTGTTCATTCCCAATAATGCAAAAGAAAAAGTGTCAACAAGCCCAATAAGAAAAATCTTACTTACCAAGTCATCTACTTTTTCCAACTTTTAAAATTGTGAGTAGTCTTTCAAAGGTTATGTGACTTTTTTAACAGATCTGTGCAAATAATTATTTTGAAACAAATATTTTAGGAATGAATTGGAGTGTTTACGCCTAAAAGAAAATGTGAAAAGTCCCGAAATGGAGATTTTGAGCCTGAAAAAGAAAAGGAAGAAACCAGCAGAAAAACGTGAACGAGCTTGGAAACACTTCTTCAGCAAGAGATTGGTAAGTGCATTTCTTTTTAATTTCTATCGTTCTAGAAAGCAGTTCCTCCTCTGCTAGTATGTAGGAATATTTTAGGCACTATGAAAATCTTACTGATAAAAACACTTGTAATCGTATTGATACCTCCTTACTAGCAGTAGTGAAGTCCTCCTAACTTTATGGAAGATAAATGGTTACATGCAATTCATGACTTTGGCAGTGATATTTTAATAGAAAAGATTTTTTATAGCCTAAAATCCCTATTTTACACATATCACATTTGTTTATCCATTATCCATTAAAGGATTTGAGAGTTATTCCCACACTTCTTTGGGAATAATGCTGATCTGGACATTGATATATTACTGTGTGTCATGAGTCTCAGCTAATATGATACAATAACTTTTAAAATTCCAGGAAATTGAATTGCTGAATCTAAGACTTTGAATATCTGTTGCAATGAAAGCTTTTCCATGATATTTTGTAATTTATATGGTCACCAAGAATGGATAGTAGGGCACTACACAAGCATTTTCCCCAGAGACACTGTATTTCTCTTTGACTGTAAGCAAGGAAAAAGATGCCAGTAACAAAGTAGAAATGGATATTTGTCTTACTGAGGAACTAGTGGTCCTAGCATTGCAGTTTCATGATTTTTCCCCATTGATTAGTGTTTATCAGCCATTTAAACTTGTCCAGTCTAAGAGGAATGCATAAGACTGGGTGACAGTTTGTTGATGTGTAATGAAAACCATGTACCTCTTGACCAGGCAGAGCAGATTCTCCTGTGGCCCGTGTTCTCCTGTGTGGGAATTAGGACCACAAGGACACATTGTGTGCATGGAAGTGAAGATGTGAGGTGGCTCCTTCCACTGACTGATTTCTTAAAGTCACAGCAATTTGATCCATTGAGCTCCATTACACAGATGCTTGTTGCTATGTCTCCTGCCTACCTGTCCCCCAAACTCTCATGGAGCTATAGATGGGTGTTTTCCATAGGAGACTACATCTGTAGAATATGATGTTGGGATTCAGGATATGTGATTACGAAGTTGGTCCACCGGTTGGTTTGGCATAGTTCTGGGATCAAGTGTGTGATGTTAAGATTAAGGGTATGAGTGCTACCTGCCCTAAAGGTGAGTACCTGGATAAGATGTAGGGACAGAAAAAAGCTTGATCCTGTTGCTGCTGCTGCTGCTCCTGCTTGTCTTCTGGTCCGTGATGCCCCTCTGCAATGCCGCCCTGTTCTGGAGCCAGCCTACTATGAACTGAAACCTCTATAAACTGTGAACTCTGAACCTTTCCTCTCCTAACTTGTGGGTCTGGTTATTTTGTCTCAACAACAAGAAAAGACTTGTTATAAGGGAGCTACAGAATTCTGCCTAGTGTTTTCTATGATGAAATGTGGAGAAACAATTTTTTCTAGAATTCAAATAAATTAGTCCTGCTGTTGTACTATACTTTTCATACACATAACATGCTGACATGTTGATAAGGTGTCATTTGTGAATTAAAATGCCAGGGGCCATCATCTTACTTTAAGTGTCATATACAAAGGTATTGAGATGTTGCAAAATTGGTAGTGGTACCATATACAACTGGAAAATATTCAAAAAAGACAATGTGGTCCATTGGAAAGCAACATTAAAAAAGAAAGACAAGGTGAATTATGATGGGTGGCATTCTAACAGTGAGGCCTCCAGCCCTAGATTAGAAGATCGCAAAATTCAGATTGAAACCCATGTGAGTCACTTTGCCATGTGTAGGACTCAGGTCAGAAGGAATCCATACCAAATAATTGCTGATGAGGTTTTGTTCTGGGAGAAGTAAACTAAAAGGAAGAAGGGAAAGTGTAAATGACCCCTGTGCCGAGACATTTTGTGTACCCCAGGCTGGCCTTGAATTTACTGTGCCTCTCCAAGGTGGTCTCATGGTTACAGTAACCCTGTTGACTCAGCCTCCTGAGTGACAGAATCACAGCTGTGTGACACGAAGCCCAGCTTCTGATTTAAATTTTGAGAGATCTTCTGACTAAATTATCAAGACTGCACTTGACCTGAGGAAACTTTTACCTCAGCTTTCCTGCAATATTAAACTTTATCAAAACAGAAAACACAATAATACCTAATAGGAAAGATTTTATAGAGCTCCCACTGCTGGTGACTGGTGGAGTTGGAACTCTGGCCCAGGCATGCTGGTGTCTGTCTAGATACTGTTTCTCCAACAGTTCCTGGAGACATCTAGATGTTACTGCAGTGTCATTTCTGTATTATTATCATTAGAATTGCTCTTAGTCATATAAGCATTATTCATATCATAGTTGATAAATAGTACTTGGAATCCATAAAGTAGGATGTAATGCGTGGAATGTAAAAATACAACTAAAAGGACAGCACAAGTAAAGGGACTTCCTCTTTCTCTCCATTTTACCAAAACTTTCACTTTTATAGTTTCCTGCAAAAGAGTTGTCTCCCCCAGTTGCCCAGGCTGGTCTCGAGCATCAGCTTACCAAGCAGCCAGGAATGCAGGTCCATAGCACTGTGCTAACCTTCTAGTTTTGTCAGTTTGAGGACCTGCTAACAGGTCTAAAATTAGGAATATAATATGTTTCAGACCTAGAGCTGGGGTCGGTAACTTAAGTAGTGGGGAGAGGGTGTTACTTTGTAAGGTGTGAGCCATTGGATCCCTGCGTCAGCAGTTCAGATAACCATGTAGACACAGCACAGAGGTAACTATAAACCATACGGAGGTGGAGCATTATAGCTGTGTCCACTACAGTTATGAAACAAACACCAGGGATGGGCAGGTTATTAATAAACATTTTTGTTAATTTTCAGTTGACAGAAGCACAAGATCAAGGTACAAGCTCTGTGCAACATGATGAAAAAATGGAAGAACCCTTAGACAGGTATGGCTTAACCAAATGAGTTGAGCATCTATAAAGGAAATCAGCAGCATAATATGAGACATATTGCAGTTATATAAGTACTAAATCTTCATTAGGCCAGGGGAAAATTCTAGCTTTGATAAATGTACCTGAAAGGAGTAATTTAGGGGAGCAGAAATAGTACAGTGAGGAGAGAGCATGTGCTTTCCACGTGGAGCCCTGTGTTCATTCCCAATAATGCAAAAGAAAAAGTGTCAACAAGCCCAATAAGAAAAATGTTACTTACCAAGTCATCTACTTTTTCCAACTTTTAAAATTGTGAGTAGTCTTTCAAAGGTTATGTGACTTTTTTAACAGATCTGTGCAAATAATTATTTTGAAACAAATATTTTAGGAATGAATTGGAGTGTTTACGCCTAAAAGAAAATGTGAAAAGTCCCGAAATGGAGATTTTGAGCCTGAAAAAGAAAAGGAAGAAACCAGCAGAAAAACGTGAACGAGCTTGGAAACACTTCTTCAGCAAGAGATTGGTAAGTGCATTTCTTTTTAATTTCTATCGTTCTAGAAAGCAGTTCCTCCTCTGCTAGTATGTAGGAATATTTTAGGCACTATGAAAATCTTACTGATAAAAACACTTGTAATCGTATTGATACCTCCTTACTAGCAGTAGTGAAGTCCTCCTAACTTTATGGAAGATAAATGGTTACATGCAATTCATGACTTTGGCAGTGATATTTTAATAGAAAAGATTTTTTATAGCCTAAAATCCCTATTTTACACATATCACATTTGTTTATCCATTATCCATTAAAGGATTTGAGAGTTATTCCCACACTTCTTTGGGAATAATGCTGATCTGGACATTGATATATTACTGTGTGTCATGAGTCTCAGCTAATATGATACAATAACTTTTAAAATTCCAGGAAATTGAATTGCTGAATCTAAGACTTTGAATATCTGTTGCAATGAAAGCTTTTCCATGATATTTTGTAATTTATATGGTCACCAAGAATGGATAGTAGGGCACTACACAAGCATTTTCCCCAGAGACACTGTATTTCTCTTTGACTGTAAGCAAGGAAAAAGATGCCAGTAACAAAGTAGAAATGGATATTTGTCTTACTGAGGAACTAGTGGTCCTAGCATTGCAGTTTCATGATTTTTCCCCATTGATTAGTGTTTATCAGCCATTTAAACTTGTCCAGTCTAAGAGGAATGCATAAGACTGGGTGACAGTTTGTTGATGTGTAATGAAAACCATGTACCTCTTGACCAGGCAGAGCAGATTCTCCTGTGGCCCGTGTTCTCCTGTGTGGGAATTAGGACCACAAGGACACATTGTGTGCATGGAAGTGAAGATGTGAGGTGGCTCCTTCCACTGACTGATTTCTTAAAGTCACAGCAATTTGATCCATTGAGCTCCATTACACAGATGCTTGTTGCTATGTCTCCTGCCTACCTGTCCCCCAAACTCTCATGGAGCTATAGATGGGTGTTTTCCATAGGAGACTACATCTGTAGAATATGATGTTGGGATTCAGGATATGTGATTACGAAGTTGGTCCACCGGTTGGTTTGGCATAGTTCTGGGATCAAGTGTGTGATGTTAAGATTAAGGGTATGAGTGCTACCTGCCCTAAAGGTGAGTACCTGGATAAGATGTAGGGACAGAAAAAAGCTTGATCCTGCTGCTGCTGCTGCTGCTCCTGCTTGTCTTCTGGTCCGTGATGCCCCTCTGCAATGCCGCCCTGTTCTGGAGCCAGCCTACTATGAACTGAAACCTCTATAAACTGTGAACTCTGAACCTTTCCTCTCCTAACTTGTGGGTCTGGTTATTTTGTCTCAACAACAAGAAAAGACTTGTTATAAGGGAGCTACAGAATTCTGCCTAGTGTTTTCTATGATGAAATGTGGAGAAACAATTTTTTCTAGAATTCAAATAAATTAGTCCTGCTGTTGTACTATACTTTTCATACACATAACATGCTGACATGTTGATAAGGTGTCATTTGTGAATTAAAATGCCAGGGGCCATCATCTTACTTTAAGTGTCATATACAAAGGTACTGAGATGTTGCAAAATTGGTAGTGGTACCATATAAAACTGGAAAATATTCAAAAAAGACAATGTGGTCCATTGGAAAGCAACATTAAAAAAGAAAAACAAGGTGAATTATGATGGGTGGCATTCTAACAGTGAGGCCTCCAGCCCTAGATTAGAAGATAGCAAAATTCAGATTGAAACCCATGTGAGTCACTTTACCATGTGTAGGACTCAGGTCAGAAGGAATCCATACCAAATAATTGCTGATGAGGTTTTGTTCTGGGAGAAGTAAACTAAAAGGAAGAAGGGAAAGTGTAAATGACCCCTGTGCCGAGACATTTTGTGTACCCCAGGCTGGCCTTGAATTTACTGTGCCTCTCCAAGGTGGTCTCATGGTTACAGTAACCCTGTTGACTCAGCCTCCTGAGTGACAGAATCACAGCTGTGTGACACGAAGCCCAGCTTCTGATTTAAATTTTGAGAGATCTTCTGACTAAATTATCAAGACTGCACTTGACCTGAGGAAACTTTTACCTCAGCTTTCCTGCAATATTAAACTTTATCAAAACAGAAAACACAATAATACCTAATAGGAAAGATTTTATAGAGCTCCCACTGCTGGTGACTGGTGGAGTTGGAACTCTGGCCCAGGCATGCTGGTGTCTGTCTAGATACTGTTTCTCCAACAGTTCCTGGAGACATCTAGATGTTACTGCAGTGTCATTTCTGTATTATTATCATTGGCATTGCTCTTAGTCATATAAGCATTATTCATATCATAGTTGACAAATAGTACTTGGAATCCATAAAGTAGGATGTACTGCATGGAATGTAAAAATACAACTAAAAGGACAGCACAAGTAAAGGGACTTCCTCTTTCTCTCCATTTTACCAAAACTTTCACTTTTATTGTTTCCTGCAAAAGAGTTGTCTCCCCCAGTTGCCCAGGCTGGTCTCAAGCATCAGCTTACCAATCAGCCAGGAATGCAGGTCCATAGCACTGTGCTAACCTTCTAGTTTTGTCAGTTTGAGGACCTGCTAACAGGTCTAAAATCAGGAATATAACATGTTTCAGACCTAGAGCTGGGGTCGGTAACTTAAGTAGTGGGGAGAGAGTGTTATTTTGTAAGGTGTGGGCCATTGGATCCCTGCGTCAGCAGTTCAGCTCACCGTGTAGACACAGCACAGAGGTAACTATAAACCATACGGAGGTGGAGCATTATAGCTGTGTCCACTACAGTTATGAAACAAACACCAGGGTTGGGCACGTTATTAATAAACATTTTTGTTAATTTTCAGTTGACAGAAGCACAAGATCAAGGTACAAGCTCTGTGCAACATGATGAAAAAATGGAAGAACCCTTAGACAGGTATGGCTTAACCAAATGAGTTGAGCATCTATAAAGGAAATCAGCAGCATAATATGAGACATATTGCAGTTATATAAGTACTAAATCTTCATTAGGCCAGGGGAAAATTCTAGCTTTGATAAATGTACCTGAAAGGAGTAATTTAGGGGAGCAGAAATAGTACAGTGAGGAGAGAGCATGTGCTTTCCACGTGGAGCCCTGTGTTCATTCCCAATAATGCAAAAGAAAAAGTGTCAACAAGCCCAATAAGAAAAATCTTACTTACCAAGTCATCTACTTTTTCCAACTTTTAAAATTGTGAGTAGTCTTTCAAAGGTTATGTGACTTTTTTAACAGATCTGTGCAAATAATTATTTTGAAACAAATATTTTAGGAATGAATTGGAGTGTTTACGCCTAAAAGAAAATGTGAAAAGTCCCGAAATGGAGATTTTGAGCCTGAAAAAGAAAAGGAAGAAACCAGCAGAAAAACGTGAACGAGCTTGGAAACACTTCTTCAGCAAGAGATTGGTAAGTGCATTTCTTTTTAATTTCTATCGTTCTAGAAAGCAGTTCCTCCTCTGCTAGGAATATTTTAGGCACTGTAGGAATATTTTAGGCACTATGAAAGTCTTACTGATAAAAACACTTGTAATCGTATTGATACCTCCTTACTAGCAGTAGTGAAGTCCTCCTAACTTTATGGAAGATAAATGGTTACATGCAATTCATGACTTTGGCAGTGATATTTTAATACAAAAGATTTTTTATAGCCTAAAATCCCTATTTTACACATATCACATTTGTTTATCCATTATCCATTAAAGGATTTGAGAGTTATTCCCACACTTCTTTGGGAATAATGCTGATCTGGACATTGATATATTACTGTGTGTCATGAGTCTCAGCTAATATGATACAATAACTTTTAAAATTCCAGGAAATTGAATTGCTGAATCTAAGACTTTGAATATCTGTTGCAATGAAAGCTTTTCCATGATATTTTGTAATTTATATGGTCACCAAGAATGGATAGTAGGGCACTACACAAGCATTTTCCCCAGAGACACTGTATTTCTCTTTGACTGTAAGCAAGGAAAAAGATGCCAGTAACAAAGTAGAAATGGATATTTGTCTTACTGAGGAACTAGTGGTCCTAGCATTGCAGTTTCATGATTTTTCCGCATTGATTAGTGTATATCAGCTATTTAAACTTGTTCAGTCTAAGAGTAATGCATAAGACTGGGTGACAGTTTGTTGATGTGTAATGAAAACCATGTACATCTTGACCAGGCAGAGCAGATTCTCCTGTGGCCCGTGTTCTCCTGTGTGGGAATTAGGACCACAAGGACACATTGTGTGCATGGAAGTGGAGATGTGAGGGGCTCCTTCCACTGACTGATTTCTTAAAGTCACAGCAATTTGATCCATTGAACTCCATTACACAGATGCTTGTTGCTATGTCTCCTGCCTACCTGTCCCCCAAACTCTCATGGAGCTATAGATGGGTGTTTTCCATAGGAGACTACATCTGTAGAATATGATGTTGGGATTCAGGATATTTGATTACGAAGTTGGTCCATCGGTTGGTTTGGCATAGTTCTGGGATCAAGGGTGTGATGTTAAGATTAAGGGTATGAGTGCTACCTGCCCTAAAGGTGAGTACCTAGATAAGATGTAGGGACAGAAAGAAGCTTGATGCTGCTGCTGCTGCTGCTCCTGCTTATCTTCTGGTCCGTGATGCCCCTCTGCAATGCCGCCCTGTTCTGGAGCCAGCCTACTATGAACTGAAACCTCTATAAACTGTGAACTCTGAACCATTCCTCTCCTAACTTGTGGGTCTGGTTATTTTGTCTCAACAACAAGAAAATACTTGTTATAAGGGAGCTACACAATTCTGGCTAGTGTTTTATCCGATGAAATATGGAGGAACAATTTTTTCTAGAATTCAAATAAATTAGCCCTGTTGTTGTACTATACTTTTCATACACATAACATGCTGACATGTTGATAAGGTGTCATTTGTGAATTAAAATGCCAGGGGCCATCATCTTACTTTAAGTGTCATATACAAAGGTATTGAGATGTTGAAAAATTGGTCGTGGTACCATGTACAACTGGAAAATATTCAAAAAAGTAATGTGGTCCATTGGAAAGCAACATTAAAAAAGAAAAACAAGGTGAATTATGATGGGTGGCATTCTAGGAGTGAGGCCTCCAGGCCTAGATTAGAAGATCGCAAAATTCAGATTGAAACCCATGTGAGTCACTTTGCCATGTGTAGGACTCAGTGGAGAAGGAATCCATACCAAATAATGGCTGATGAGGATTTGTTCTGGGAGAAGTAAACTAAAAGGAAGAAGGGAAAGTGTAAATGACCCCTGTGCCGAGACATCTTGTGTAACCCAGCCTGGCCTAGAATTTACTGTGACTCTCCAAGGTGGTCTTGTGGTTACAGTAACCCTGTTGACTCAGCCTCTGAGTGACAGAATCACAGCTGTGTGACACGAAACCCAGCTTCTGATTTAAATTTTGAGAGATCTTCTGACTAAATTATCAAGACTGCACATGACCTGAGGAAACTTTTGCCTCAGCTTTCCTATAATATCAAACTTTATCAAAACAGAAAACACAATAATACCTAATAGGAAAGATTTTATAGAGCTTCCACTGCTGGTGACTGGTGGAGTTGGAACTCTGGCCCAGGCATGCTGGTGTCTGTCTAGATACTGTTTCTCCAACAGTTCCTGGAGACATCTAGATGTTACTGCAGTGTCATTTCTGTATTATTATCATTGGCATTGCTCTTAGTCATATAAGCATTATTCGTATCATAGTTGATAAATAGTACTTGGAATCCATAAAGTAGGATGTAAGGCATGGAATGTAAAAATACAACTAAAAGGACAGCACAAGTAAAGGGACTTCCTCTTTCTCTCCATTTTACCAAAACTTTCACTTTTATTGTTTCCTGCAAAAGAGTTGTCTCCCCCAGTTGCCCAGGCTGGTCTCAAGCATCAGCTTACCAAGCAGCCAGGAATGCAGGTCCATAGCACTGTGCTAACCTTCTAGTTTTGTCAGTTTGAGGACCTGCTAACAGGTCTAAAATCAGGAATATAATATGTTTCAGACCTAGAGCTGGGGTCGGTAACTTAAGTAGTGGGGAGAAGGTGTTACTTTGTAAGGTGTGGGCCATTGGATCCCTGCGTCAGCAGTTCAGATAACCGTGTAGACACAGCACAGAGGTAACTATAAACCATACGGAGGTGGAGCATTATAGCTGTGTCCACTACAGTTATGAAACAAACACCAGGGATGGGCAGGTTATTAATAAACATTTTTGTTAATTTTCAGTTGACAGAAGCACAAGATCAAGGTACAAGCTCTGTTCAACATGATGAAAAAATGGAAGAACCCTTAGACAGGTATGGCTTAACCAAATGACTTGAGCAACTATAAAAGAAATCAGCAGCATAACATGAGACATATTGCAGTTATATAAGTACTAAATCTTCATTAGGCCAGGGGAAAATTCTAGCTTTGATAAATGTACCTGAAAGGAGTAATTTAGGGGAGCAGAAATAGTACAGTGAGGAGAGAGCATGTGCTTTCCACGTGGAGCCCTGTGTTCACACCCAATAATGCAAAAGAAAAAGTGTCAACAAGCCCAATAAGAAAAATCTTACTTACCAAGTCATTTACTTTTTCCAACTTTTAAAATTGTGAGTAGTCTTTCAAAGGTTATGTGACTTTTTAAACAGATCTGTGCAAATAATTATTTTGAAATCAATATTTTAGGATTAAATCGGAGTGTTTATGCATAAAAGAAAATGTGAAAAGTCTCGAAATGGAGATTTTGAGCCAGAATAAGAAAAGGAAGAAACCAGCAGGAAAACTTGAACATGCTCAGAAAAACTTGTCAAATGACAGTTTGGTGAGTCCATTTGTTTTTAATTTCTATCGTACTTGAAAGGAGTTCTTATTTCTCTGCTAGTACGTAGGAATATTTTAGGCACTATGAAAAGTTTCACTGATAAAAACACTTGTTGTAATCGTATTGATACCTCCTTACTAGCAATAGTGACATCCTCTTAACTTTATGGAAGATAAATGGTTTCATGCAATTCATGACTTTGGCAGTGATATTTTAATACAAAAGATTTTTATAGCCTAAAATCCCTATTTTACACATACCACATTTGTTTATCCATTATCCACTGAAGGATTTGAGAGTTATTCCCACACTTCTTTGGGAATAATGCTGATCTGGACATTGATATATTACTGTGTGTCATGAGTCTCAGCTAATATGATACAATAACTTTGAAAATTCCAGGAAATTGAATTGCTGAATCTAAGACTTTGAATATCTGTTGCAATGAAAGCTTTTCCATGATATTTTGTAATTTATATGGTCACCAAGAATGGATAGTAGGGCACTACACAAGCATTTTCCCCAGAGACACTGTATTTCTCTTGGACTGTAAGCAAGGAAAAAGATGCCAGTAACAAAGTAGAAATGGATATTTGTCTTACTGAGGAACTAGTGGTCCTAGCATTGCAGTTTCATGATTTTTCCCCATTGATTAGTGTTTATCAGCCATTTAAACTTGTCCAGTCTAAGAGGAACGCATAAGACTGGGTGACAGTTTGTTGATGTGTAATGAAAACCATGTACCTCTTGACCAGGCAGAGCAGATTCTCCTGTGGCCCGTGTTCGCCTGTGTGGGAATTAGGACCACAAGGACACATTGTGTGCATGGAAGTGGACATGTGAGGTGGCTCCTTCCACTGACTGATTTCTTAAAGTCACAGCAATTTGATCCATCGAGCTCCATTACACAGATGCTTGTTGCTATGTCTCCTGCCTACCTGTCCCCCAAACTCTCATGGAGCTATAGATGGGTGTTTTTCATAGGTGACTAGATCTGTAGAATATGATGTTGGGATTCAGGATATGTGATTACCAAGTTGGTCGACCGATTGGTTTGGCATAGTTCTGGGATCAAGGATGTGATGTTAAGATTAAGGGTATGAGTGCTACCTGCCTTAAAGGTGAGTACCTGGATAAGATGTAGGGACAGAAAAAAGCTTGATCCTGCTGCTGCTGCTGCTGCTCCTGCTTATCTTCTGGTCCGTGATGCCCCTCTGCAATGCCTCCCTGTTCTGGAGCCAGCCTACTATGAACTGAAACCTCTATAAACTGTGAGTTCTGAACCTTTCCTCTCTTAACTTGTGAGTCTGGTTATTTTGTCTCAACAACAAGGAAAGACTTGTTATAAGGGAGATACAGAATTCTGCCTAGTGTTTTCTATGATGAAATGTGGAGAAACAATTTTTTCTAGAATTCAAATACATTAGTCCTGTTGTTGTACTATACTTTTCATACACATAACATGCTGACATGTTGATAAGGTGTCATTTGTGAATTAAAATGCCAGGGGCCATCATCTTACTTTAAGTGTCATATACAAATGTATTGAGATGTTGCAAAATTGGTAGTGGTACCATATACAACTGGAAAATATTCAAAAAAGACAATGTGGTCCATTGGAAAGCAACATTAAAAAAGAAAAACAAGGTGAATTATGATGGGTGGCATTCTAGCAGTGAGGCCTCCAGCCCTAGATTAGAAGATCGCAAAATTCAGATTGAAACCCATGTGAGTCACTTTGCCATGTGTAGGACTCAGTGCAGAAGGAATCCATACCAAATAATGGCTGATGAGGTTTTGTTCTGGGAGAAGTAAACTAAAAGGAAGAAGGGAAAGTGTAAATGACCCCTGTGCCGAGACATTTTGTGTACCCCAGGCTGGCCTTGAATTTACTGTGCCTCTCCAAGGTGGTCTTGTGGTTACAGTAACCCTGTTGACTCAGCCTGCTGAGTGACAAAATCACAGCTGTGTGACACGAAGCCCAGCTTCTGATTTAAATTTTGAGAGATCTTCTGACTAAATTATCAAGACTGCACTTGACCTGAGGAAACTTTTACCTCAGCTTTCCTGCAAAGTTAAACTTTATCAAAACAGAAAACACAATAATACCCAATAGGAAAGATTTTATAGAGCTCCCACTGCTGGTGACTGGTGGAGTTGGAACTCTGGCCCAGGCATGCTGGTGTCTGTCTAGATACTGTTTCTCCAACAGTTCCTGGAGACATCTAGATGTTACTGCAGTGTCATTTCTGTATTATTATCATTGGCATTGCTCTTAGTCATATAAGCATTATTCATATCATAGTTGATAAATAGTACTTGGAATCCATAAAGTAGGATGTAATGCGTGGAATGTAAAAATACAACTAAAAGGACAGCACAAGTAAAGGGACTTCCTCTTTCTCTCCATTTTACCAAAACTTTCACTTTTATAGTTTCCTGCAAAAGAGTTGTCTCCCCCAGTTGCCCAGGCTGGTCTCAAGCATCAGCTTACCAAGGAGCCAGGAATGCAGGTCCATAGCACTGTGCTAACCTTCTAGTTTTGTCAGTTTGAGGACCTGCTAACAGGTCTAAAATCAGGAATATAATATGTTTCAGACCTAGAGCTGCGATCGGTAACTTAAATAGTGGGGAGAGGGTGTTACTTTGTAAGGTGTGGGCCATTGGATCCCTGCGTCAGCAGTTCAGATAACCGTGTAGACACAGCACAGAGGTAACTATAAACCATACGGAGGTGGAGCATTATAGCTGTGTCCACTACAGTTATGAAACAAACACCAGGGATGGGCAGGTTATTAATAAACATTTTTGTTAATTTTCAGTTGACAGAAGCACAAGATCAAGGTACAAGCTCTGTGCAACACGATGAAAAAATGGAAGAACCCTTAGACAGGTATGGCTTAACCAAATGACTTGAGCAACTATAAAGGAAATCAGCAGCATAACATGAGACATATTGCAGTTATATAAGTACTAAATCTTCATTAGGCCAGGGGAAAATTCTAGCTTTGATAAATGTACCTGAAAGGAGTAATTTAGGGGAACGGAAATAGTACAGTGAGGAGAGAGCATGTGCTTTCCACGTGGAGCCCTGTGTTCACACCCAATAATGCAAAAGAAAAAGTGTCAACAAGCACAATGAGAAAAATCTTACCTACCAAATCATCTACTTTTTCTAACTTTTAAAATTGTGAGTAGTCTTTCAAAGGTTATGTGACTTTTTAAACAGATCTGTGCAAATAATTATTTTGAAATCAATATTTTAGGATTAAATCAGAGTGTTTACGCATAAAAGAAAATGTGAAAAGTCTCGAAATGGAGATTTTGAGCCAGAATAAGAAAAGGAAGAAACCAGCAAGAAAACATGAACATGCTCGGAAAAACTTGTCAACTGACAGTTTGGTGAGTCCATTTGTTTTTAATTTCTATCGTACTTGAAAGGAGTTCTTGTTTCTCTGCTAGTACGTAGGAATATTTTAGGCACTATGAAAAGTTTCACTGATAAAAACACTTGTTGTAATCGTATTGATGCCTCCTTACTAGCAATAGTGACGTCCTCTTAACTTTATGGAAGATAAATGGTTTCATGCAATTCATGACTTTGGCAGTGATATTTTAATACAAAAGATTTTTATAGCCTAAAATCCCTATTTTACACATACCACATTTGTTTATCCATTTTCCATTGAAGGATTTGAGAGTTATTCCCACACTTCTTTGGGAATAATGCTGATCTGGACATTGATATATTACTGTGTGTCATGAGTCTCAGCTAATATGATACAATAACTTTCAAAATTCCAGGAAATTGAATTGCTGAATCTAATACTTTGAATATCTGTTGCAATGAAAGCTTTTCCATGATATTTTGTAATTTATATGGTCACCAAGAATGGATAGTAGGGCTCTACACAAGCATTTTCCCCAGAGACACTGTATTTCTCTTTGACTGTAAGCAAGGAAAAAGATGCCAGTAACAAAGTAGAAATGGATATTTGTCTTACTGAGGAACTAGTGGTCCTAGCATTGCAGTTTCATGATTTTTCCCCATTGATTAGTGTTTATCAGCCATTTAAACTTGTCCAGTCTAAGAGGAACGCATAAGACTGGGTGACAGTTTGTTGATGTGTAATGAAAACCATGTACCTCTTGTCCAGGCAGAGCAGATTCTCCTGTGGCCCGTGTTCTCCTGTGTGGGAATTAGGACCACAAGGACACATTGTGTGCATGGAAGTGGAGATGTGAGGTGGCTCCTTCCACTGACTGATTTCTTAAAGTCACAGCAATTTGATCCATCGAGCTCCATTACACAGATGCTTGTTGCTATGTCTCCTGCCTACCTGTCCCCCAAACTCTCATGGAGCTATAGATGGGTGTTTTTCATAGGTGACTAGATCTGTAGAATATGATGTTGGGATTCAGGATGTGTGATTACCAAGTTGGTCCACCAGTTGCTTTGGCATAGTTCTAGGATCAAGAATGTGATATTAAGATTAAGGGTATGAGTGCTACCAGCCTTAAAGGTGAGTACCTGGATAACATGTAGGGACATAAAAAAGCTTGATCCTGCTGCTGCTGCTGCTCCTGCTTGTCTTCTGGTCCGTGATGCCCCTCTGCAATGCCTCCCTGTTCTGGAGCCAGCCTACTATGAACTGAAACCTCTATAAACTGTGAGTTCTGAACCTTTCCTCTCTTAACTTGTGAGTCTGGTTATTTTGTCTCAACAACAAGGAAAGACTTGTTATAAGGGAGATACAGAATTCTGCCTAGTGTTTTCTATGATGAAATGTGGAGAAACAATTTTTTCTAGAATTCAAATACATTAGTCCTGTTGTTGTACTATACTTTTCATACACATAACATGCTGACATGTTGATAAGGTGTCATTTGTGAATTAAAATGCCAGGGGCCATCATCTTACTTTAAGTGTCATATACAAATGTATTGAGATGTTGCAAAATTGGTAGTGGTACCATATACAACTGGAAAATATTCAAAAAAGACAATGTGGTCCATTGGAAAGCAACATTAAAAAAGAAAAACAAGGTGAATTATGATGGGTGGCATTCTAGCAGTGAGGCCTCCAGCCCTAGATTAGAAGATCGCAAAATTCAGATTGAAACCCATGTGAGTCACTTTGCCATGTGTAGGACTCAGTGCAGAAGGAATCCATACCAAATAATGGCTGATGAGGTTTTGTTCTGGGAGAAGTAAACTAAAAGGAAGAAGGGAAAGTGTAAATGACCCCTGTGCCGAGACATTTTGTGTACCCCAGGCTGGCCTTGAATTTATTGTGCCTCTCCAAGGTGGTCTTGTGGTTACAGTAACCCTGTTGACTCAGCCTCCTGAGTGACAGAATCACAGCTGTGTGACACGAAGCCCAGCTTCTGATTTAAATTTTGAGAGATCTTCTGACTAAATTATCAAGACTGCACTTGACCTGAGGAAACTTTTACCTCAGCTTTCCTGCAAAGTTAAACTTTATCAAAACAGAAAACACAATAATACCCAATAGGAAAGATTTTATAGAGCTCCCACTGCTGGTGACTGGTGGAGTTGGAACTCTGGCCCAGGCATGCTGGTGTCTGTCTAGATACTGTTTCTCCAACAGTTCCTGGAGACACCTAGATGTTACTGCAGTGTCATTTCTGTATTATTATCATTGGCATTGCTCTTAGTCATATAAGCATTATTCATATCATAGTTGATAAATAGTACTTGGAATCCATAAAGTAGGATGTAATGCGTGGAATGTAAAAATACAACTAAAAGGACAGCACAAGTAAAGGGACTTCCTCTTTCTCTCCATTTTACCAAAACTTTCACTTTTATAGTTTCCTGCAAAAGAGTTGTCTCCCCCAGTTGCCCAGGCTGGTCTCAAGCATCAGCTTACCAAGGAGCCAGGAATGCAGGTCCATAGCACTGTGCTAACCTTCTAGTTTTGTCAGTTTGAGGACCTGCTAACAGGTCTAAAATCAGGAATATAATATGTTTCAGACCTAGAGCTGCGATCGGTAACTTAAATAGTGGGGAGAGGGTGTTACTTTGTAAGGTGTGGGCCATTGGATCCCTGCGTCAGCAGTTCAGATAACCGTGTAGACACAGCACAGAGGTAACTATAAACCATACGGAGGTGGAGCATTATAGCTGTGTCCACTACAGTTATGAAACAAACACCAGGGATGGGCAGGTTATTAATAAACATTTTTGTTAATTTTCAGTTGACAGAAGCACAAGATCAAGGTACAAGCTCTGTGCAACACGATGAAAAAATGGAAGAACCCTTAGACAGGTATGGCTTAACCAAATGACTTGAGCAACTATAAAGGAAATCAGCAGCATAACATGAGACATATTGCAGTTATATAAGTACTAAATCTTCATTAGGCCAGGGGAAAATTCTAGCTTTGATAAATGTACCTGAAAGGAGTAATTTAGGGGAGCAGAAATAGTACAGTGAGGAGAGAGCATGTGCTTTCCACGTGGAGCCCTGTGTTCACACCCAATAATGCAAAAGAAAAAGTGTCAACAAGCACAATGAGAAAAATCTTACCTACCAAATCATCTACTTTTTCTAACTTTTAAAATTGTGAGTAGTCTTTCAAAGGTTATGTGACTTTTTAAACAGATCTGTGCAAATAATTATTTTGAAATCAATATTTTAGGATTAAATCAGAGTGTTTAGGCATAAAAGAAAATGTGAAAAGTCTCGAAATGGAGATTTTGAGCCAGAATAAGAAAAGGAAGAAACCAGCAAGAAAACTTGAACATGCTCGGAAAAACCTGTCAACTGACAGTTTGGTGAGTCCATTTGTTTTTAATTTCTATCGTACTTGAAAGGAGTTCTTGTTTCTCTGCTAGTACGTAGGAATATTTTAGGCACTATGAAAAGTTTCACTGATAAAAACACTTGTTGTAATCGTATTGATACCTCCTTACTAGCAATAGTGACGTCCTCTTAACTTTATGGAAGATAAATGGTTTCATGCAATTCATGACTTTGGAAGTGATATTTTAATGCAAAAGATTTTTATAGCCTAAAATCCCTATTTTACACATACCACATTTGTTTATCCATTTTCCATTGAAGGATTTGAGAGTTATTCCCACACTTCTTTGGGAATAATGCTGATCTGGACATTGATATATTACTGTGTGTCATGAGTCTCAGCTAATATGATACAATAACTTTCAAAATTCCAGGAAATTGAATTGCTGAATCTAAGACTTTGAATATCTGTTGCAATGAAAGCTTTTCCATGATATTTTGTAATTTATATGGTCACCAAGAATGGATAGTAGGGCTCTACACAAGCATTTTCCCCAGAGACACTGTATTTCTCTTTGACTGTAAGCAAGGAAAAAGATGCCAGTAACAAAGTAGAAATGGATATTTGTCTTACTGAGGAACTAGTGGTCCTAGCATTGCAGTTTCATGATTTTTCCCCATTGATTAGTGTTTATCAGCCATTTAAACTTGTCCAGTCTAAGAGGAACGCATAAGACTGGGTGACAGTTTGTTGATGTGTAATGAAAACCATGTACCTCTTGACCAGGCAGAGCAGATTCTCCTGTGGCCCGTGTTCTCCTGTGTGGGAATTAGGACCACAAGGACACATTGTGTGCATGGAAGTGGAGATGTGAGGTGGCTCCTTCCACTGACTGATTTCTTAAAGTCACAGCAATTTGATCCATCGAGCTCCATTACACAGATGCTTGTTGCTATGTCTCCTGCCTACCTGTCCCCCAAACTCTCATGGAGCTATAGATGGGTGTTTTTCATAGGTGACTAGATCTGTAGAATATGATGTTGGGATTCAGGATATGTGATTACCAAGTTGGTCCACCGATTGGTTTGGCATAGTTCTGGGATCAAGGATGTGATGTTAAGATTAAGGGTATGAGTGCTACCTGCCCTAAAGGTGAGTACCTTCATAAGATGTAGGGACAGAAAAAAGCTTGATCCTGTTGCTGCTGCTGCTGCTGCTCCTGCTTGTCTTCTGGTCCGTGATGCCCCTCTGCAATGCCTCCCTGTTCTGGAGCCAGCCTACTATGAACTGAAACCTCTATAAACTGTGAGTTCTGAACCTTTCCTCTCTTAACTTGTGAGTCTGGTTATTTTGTCTCAACAACAAGGAAAGACTTGTTATAAGGGAGATACAGAATTCTGCCTAGTGTTTTCTATGATGAAATGTGGAGAAACAATTTTTTCTAGAATTCAAATACATTAGTCCTGTTGTTGTACTATACTTTTCATACACATAACATGCTGACATGTTGATAAGGTGTCATTTGTGAATTAAAATGCCAGGGGCCATCATCTTACTTTAAGTGTCATATACAAAGGTATTGAGATGTTGCAAAATTGGTAGTGGTACCATATACAACTGGAAAATATTCAAAAAAGACAATGTGGTCCCTTGGAAAGCAACATTAAAAAAGAAAAACAAGGTGAATTATGATGGGTGGCATTCTAGCAGTGAGGCCTCCAGCCCTAGATTAGAAGATCGCAAAATTCAGATTGAAACCCATGTGAGTCACTTTGCCATGTGTAGGACTCAGTGCAGAAGGAATCCATACCAAATAATGGCTGATGAGGTTTTGTTCTGGGAGAAGTAAACTAAAAGGAAGAAGGGAAAGTGTAAATGACCCCTGTGCCGAGACATTTTGTGTACCCCAGGCTGGCCTTGAATTTACTGTGCCTCTCCAAGGTGGTCTTGTGCTTACAGTAACCCTGTTGACTCAGCCTCCTGAGTGACAGAATCACAGCTGTGTGACACGAAGCCCAGCTTCTGATTTAAATTTTGAGAGATCTTCTGACTAAATTATCAAGACTGCACTTGACCTGAGGAAACTTTTACCTCAGCTTTCCTGCAAAGTTAAACTTTATCAAAACAGAAAACACAATAATACCCAATAGGAAAGATTTTATAGAGCTCCCACTGCTGGTGACTGGTGGAGTTGGAACTCTGGCCCAGGCATGCTGGTGTCTGTCTAGATACTGTTTCTCCAACAGTTCCTGGAGACATCTAGATGTTACTGCAGTGTCATTTCTGTATTATTATCATTGGCATTGCTCTTAGTCATATAAGCATTATTCATATCATAGTTGATAAATAGTACTTGGAATCCATAAAGTAGGATGTAATGCGTGGAATGTAAAAATACAACTAAAAGGACAGCACAAGTAAAGGGACTTCCTCTTTCTCTCCATTTTACCAAAACTTTCACTTTTATAGTTTCCTGCAAAAGAGTTGTCTCCCCCAGTTGCCCAGGCTGGTCTCAAGCATCAGCTTACCAAGGAGCCAGGAATGCAGGTCCATAGCACTGTGCTAACCTTCTAGTTTTGTCAGTTTGAGGACCTGCTAACAGGTCTAAAATCAGGAATATAATATGTTTCAGACCTAGAGCTGCGATCGGTAACTTAAATAGTGGGGAGAGGGTGTTACTTTGTAAGGTGTGGGCCATTGGATCCCTGCGTCAGCAGTTCAGATAACCGTGTAGACACAGCACAGAGGTAACTATAAACCATACGGAGGTGGAGCATTATAGCTGTGTCCACTACAGTTATGAAACAAACACCAGGGATGGGCAGGTTATTAATAAACATTTTTGTTAATTTTCAGTTGACAGAAGCACAAGATCAAGGTACAAGCTCTGTGCAACACGATGAAAAAATGGAAGAACCCTTAGACAGGTATGGCTTAACCAAATGACTTGAGCAACTATAAAGGAAATCAGCAGCATAACATGAGACATATTGCAGTTATATAAGTACTAAATCTTCATTAGGCCAGGGGAAAATTCTAGCTTTGATAAATGTACCTGAAAGGAGTAATTTAGGGGAACGGAAATAGTACAGTGAGGAGAGAGCATGTGCTTTCCACGTGGAGCCCTGTGTTCACACCCAATAATGCAAAAGAAAAAGTGTCAACAAGCACAATGAGAAAAATCTTACCTACCAAATCATCTACTTTTTCTAACTTTTAAAATTGTGAGTAGTCTTTCAAAGGTTATGTGACTTTTTAAACAGATCTGTGCAAATAATTATTTTGAAATCAATATTTTAGGATTAAATCAGAGTGTTTACGCATAAAAGAAAATGTGAAAAGTCTCGAAATGGAGATTTTGAGCCAGAATAAGAAAAGGAAGAAACCAGCAAGAAAACATGAACATGCTCGGAAAAACTTGTCAACTGACAGTTTGGTGAGTCCATTTGTTTTTAATTTCTATCGTACTTGAAAGGAGTTCTTGTTTCTCTGCTAGTACGTAGGAATATTTTAGGCACTATGAAAAGTTTCACTGATAAAAACACTTGTTGTAATCGTATTGATACCTCCTTACTAGCAATAGTGACGTCCTCTTAACTTTATGGAAGATAAATGGTTTCATGCAATTCATGACTTTGGCAGTGATATTTTAATACAAAAGATTTTTATAGCCTAAAATCCCTATTTTACACATACCACATTTGTTTATCCATTTTCCATTGAAGGATTTGAGAGTTATTCCCACACTTCTTTGGGAATAATGCTGATCTGGACATTGATATATTACTGTGTGTCATGAGTCTCAGCTAATCTGATACAATAACTTTCAAAATTCCAGGAAATTGAATTGCTGAATCTAATACTTTGAATATCTGTTGCAATGAAAGCTTTTCCATGATATTTTGTAATTTATATGGTCACCAAGAATGGATAGTAGGGCTCTACACAAGCATTTTCCCCAGAGACACTGTATTTCTCTTTGACTGTAAGCAAGGAAAAAGATGCCAGTAACAAAGTAGAAATGGATATTTGTCTTACTGAGGAACTAGTGGTCCTAGCATTGCAGTTTCATGATTTTTCCCCATTGATTAGTGTTTATCAGCCATTTACACTTGTCCAGTCTAAGAGGAACGCATAAGACTGGGTGACAGTTTGTTGATGTGTAATGAAAACCATGTACCTCTTGTCCAGGCAGAGCAGATTCTCCTGTGGCCCGTGTTCTCCTGTGTGGGAATTAGGACCACAAGGACACATTGTGTGCATGGAAGTGGAGATGTGAGGTGGCTCCTTCCACTGACTGATTTCTTAAAGTCACAGCAATTTGATCCATCGAGCTCCATTACACAGATGCTTGTTGCTATGTCTCCTGCCTACCTGTCCCCCAAACTCTCATGGAGCTATAGATGGGTGTTTTTCATAGGTGACTAGATCTGTAGAATATGATGTTGGGATTCAGGATGTGTGATTACCAAGTTGGTCCACCAGTTGCTTTGGCATAGTTCTGGGATCAAGAATGTGATATTAAGATTAAGGGTATGAGTGCTACCTGCCTTAAAGGTGAGTACCTGGATAACATGTAGGGACATAAAAAAGCTTGATCCTGCTGTTGCTGCTGCTCCTGCTTGTCTTCTGGTCCGTGATGCCCCTCTGCAATGCCTCCCTGTTCTGGAGCCAGCCTACTATGAACTGAAACCTCTATAAACTGTGAGTTCTGAACCTTTCCTCTCTTAACTTGTGAGTCTGGTTATTTTGTCTCAACAACAAGAAAAGACTTGTTATAAGGGAGCTACAGAATTCTGCCTAGTGTATTCTATGATGAAATGTGGAGAAACAACTTGTTCTAGAATTCAAATAAATTAGTCCTGTTGTTGTACTATACTTTTCATACACATAACATTCTGACATGTTGATAAGGTGTCATTTGTGAATTAAAACGCCAGGGGCCATCATCTTACTTTAAGTGTCATATACAAAGGTATTGAGATGTTGTAAAATTGGTAGTGGTACCATATACAACTGGAAAATATTCAAAAAAGACAATGTGGTCCATTGGAAAGCAACATTAAAAAAGAAAAACAAGGTGAATTATGATGGGTGGCATTCTAGCAGTGAGGCCTCCAGCCCTAGATTAGAAGATCGCAAAATTCAGATTGAAACCCGTGTGAGTCACTTTGCCATGTGTAGGACTCAGTGCAGAAGGAATCCATACCAAATAATGGCTGATGAGGTTTTGTTCTGCGAGAACTAAACTAAAAGGAAGAAGGGAAAGTGTAAATGGCCCCTGTGCCGAGACATTTTGTGTACCCCAGGCTGGCCTTGAATTTACTGTGCCTCTCCAATGTGGTCTCATGCTTACAGTAACCCTGTTGACTCAGCCTCCTGAGTGACAGAATCACAGCTGTGTGACACGAAGCCCAGCTTCTGATTTAAATTTTGAGAGATCTTCTGACTAAATTATCAAGACTGCACTTGACCTGAGGAAACTTTTACCTCAGCTTTCCTACAATATCAAACTTTATCAAAACAGAAAACACAATAGTACCTAATAGGAAAGATTTTGTAGAGCTCCCACTGCTGGTGACTGGTGGAGTTGGAACTCTGGCCCAGGCATGCTGGTGTCTGTCTAGATTCTGTTTCTCCAACAGTTCCTGGAGACATCTAGATGTTACTGCAGTGTCATTTCTGTATTGTTATCATTGGCATTGCTCTTAGTCATATAAGCATTATTCATATCATAGTTGATAAATAGTACTTGGAATCCATAAAGTAGGATGTAATGCGTGGAATGTAAAAATACGACTAAAAGGACAGCACAAGTAAAGGGACTTCCTCTTTCTCTCCATTTTACCAAAACTTTCACTTTTATAGTTTCCTGCAAAAGAGTTGTCTCCCCCAGTTGCCCAGGCTGGTCTCAAGCATCAGCTTACCAAGGAGCCAGGAATGCAGGTCCATAGCACTGTGCTAACCTTCTAGTTTTGTCAGTTTGAGGACCTGCTAACAGGTCTAAAATCAGGAATATAATATGTTTCAGACCTAGAGCTGCGATCAGTAACTTAAATAGTGGGGAGAGGGTGTTACTTTGTAAGGTGTGGGCCATTGGATCCCTGCGTCAGCAGTTCAGATAACCGTGTAGACACAGCACAGAGGTAACTATAAACCATACGGAGGTGGAGCATTATAGCTGTGTCCACTACAGTTATGAAACAAACACCAGGGATGGGCAGGTTATTAATAAACATTTTTGTTAATTTTCAGTTGACAGAAGCACAAGATCAAGGTACAAGCTCTGTGCAACACGATGAAAAAATGGAAGAACCCTTAGACAGGTATGGCTTAACCAAATGACTTGAGCAACTATAAAGGAAATCAGCAGCATAACATGAGACATATTGCAGTTATATAAGTACTAAATCTTCATTAGGCCAGGGGAAAATACTAGCTTTGATAAATGTACCTGAAAGGAGTAATTTAGGGGAACGGAAATAGTACAGTGAGGAGAGAGCATGTGCTTTCCACGTGGAGCCCTGTGTTCACACCCAATAATGCAAAAGAAAAAGTGTCAACAAGCACAATGAGAAAAATCTTACCTACCAAATCATCTACTTTTTCTAACTTTTAAAATTGTGAGTAGTCTTTCAAAGGTTATGTGACTTTTTAAACAGATCTGTGCAAATAATTATTTTGAAATCAATATTTTAGGATTAAATCAGAGTGTTTACGCATAAAAGAAAATGTGAAAAGTCTCGAAATGGAGATTTTGAGCCAGAATAAGAAAAGGAAGAAACCAGCAAGAAAACTTGAACATGCTCGGAAAAACCTGTCAACTGACAGTTTGGTGAGTCCATTTGTTTTTAATTTCTATCGTACTTGAAAGGAGTTCTTGTTTCTCTGCTAGTACGTAGGAATATTTTAGGCACTATGAAAAGTTTCACTGATAAAAACACTTGTTGTAATCGTATTGATACCTCCTTACTAGCAATAGTGACGTCCTCTTAACTTTATGGAAGATAAATGGTTTCATGCAATTCATGACTTTGGCAGTGATATTTTAATACAAAAGATTTTTATAGCCTAAAATCCCTATTTTACACATACCACATTTGTTTATCCATTTTCCATTGAAGGATTTGAGAGTTATTCCCACACTTCTTTGGGAATAATGCTGATCTGGACATTGATATATTACTGTGTGTCATGAGTCTCAGCTAATATGATACAATAACTTTCAAAATTCCAGGAAATTGAATTGCTGAATCTAAGACTTTGAATATCTGTTGCAATGAAAGCTTTTCCATGATATTTTGTAATTTATATGGTCACCAAGAATGGATAGTAGGGCTCTACACAAGCATTTTCCCCAGAGACACTGTATTTCTCTTTGACTGTAAGCAAGGAAAAAGATGCCAGTAACAAAGTAGAAATGGATATTTGTCTTACTGAGGAACTAGTGGTCCTAGCATTGCAGTTTCATGATTTTTCCCCATTGATTAGTGTTTATCAGCCATTTAAACTTGTCCAGTCTAAGAGGAACGCATAAGACTGGGTGACAGTTTGTTGATGTGTAATGAAAACCATGTACCTCTTGACCAGGCAGAGCAGATTCTCCTGTGGCCCGTGTTCTCCTGTGTGGGAATTAGGACCACAAGGACACATTGTGTGCATGGAAGTGGAGATGTGAGGTGGCTCCTTCCACTGACTGATTTCTTAAAGTCACAGCAATTTGATCCATCGAGCTCCATTACACAGATGCTTGTTGCTATGTCTCCTGCCTACCTGTCCCCCAAACTCTCATGGAGCTATAGATGGGTGTTTTTCATAGGTGACTAGATCTGTAGAATATGATGTTGGGATTCAGGATATGTGATTACCAAGTTGGTCCACCTATTGGTTTGGCATAGTTCTGGGATCAAGGATGTGATGTTAAGATTAAGGGTATGAGTGCTACCTGCCCTAAAGGTGAGTACCTGGATAAGATGTAGGGACAGAAAAAAGCTTGATCCTGTTGCTGCTGCTGCTGCTGCTCCTGCTTGTCTTCTGGTCCGTGATGCCCCTCTGCAATGCCTCCCTGTTCTGGAGCCAGCCTACTATGAACTGAAACCTCTATAAACTGTGAGTTCTGAACCTTTCCTCTCTTAACTTGTGAGTCTGGTTATTTTGTCTCAACAACAAGAAAAGACTTGTTATAAGGGAGCTACAGAATTCTGCCTAGTGTTTTCTATGACGAAATGTGGAGAAACAATTTTTATTAGAATTCAAATAAATTAGTCCTATTGTTGTACTATACTTTTCATACACATAACATGCTGACATGTTGATAAGGTGTCATTTGTGAATTAAAATGCCAGGGGCCATCATCTTACTTTAAGTGTCATATACAAAGGTATTGAGATGTTGAAACATTGGTAGTGGTACCATATAAAACTGGAAAATATTCAAAAAAGACAATGTGGTCCATTGGAAAGCAACATTTAAAAAGAAAAACAAGGTGAATTATGATGGGTGGCATTCTAGCAGTGAGGCCTCCAGCCCTAGATTAGAAGATCGCAAAATTCAGATTGAAACCCATGTGAGTCACTTTGCCATGTGTAGGACTCAGTGCAGAAGGAATCCATACCAAATAATGGCTGATGAGGTTTTGTTCTGGGAGAAGTAAACTAAAAGGAAGAAGGGAAAGTGTAAATGACCCCTGTGCCGAGACATTTTGTGTACCCCAGGCTGGCCTTGAATTTACTGTGCCTCTCCAAGGTGGTCTTGTGCTTACAGTAACCCTGTTGACTCAGCCTCCTGAGTGACAGAATCACAGCTGTGTGACACGAAGCCCAGCTTCTGATTTAAATTTTGAGAGATCTTCTGACTAAATTATCAAGACTGCACTTGACCTGAGGAAACTTTTACCTCAGCTTTCCTGCAATGTTAAACTTTATCAAAACAGAAAACACAATAATACCCAATAGGAAAGATTTTATAGAGCTCCCACTGCTGGTGACTGGTGGAGTTGGAACTCTGGCCCAGGCATGCTGGTGTCTGTCTATATACTGTTTCTCCAACAGTTCCTCGAGACATCTAGATGTTACTGCAGTGTCATTTCTGTATTATTATCATTGGCATTGCTCTTAGTCATATAAGCATTATTCATATCATAGTTGATAAATAGTACTTGGAATCCATAAAGTAGGATGTAATGCGTGGAATGTAAAAATACAACTAAAAGGACAGCACAAGTAAAGGGACTTCCTCTTTCTCTCCATTTTACCAAAACTTTCACTTTTATAGTTTCCTGCAAAAGAGTTGTCTCCCCCAGTTGCCCAGGCTGGTCTCAAGCATCAGCTTACCAAGGAGCCAGGAATGCAGGTCCATAGCACTGTGCTAACCTTCTAGTTTTGTCAGTTTGAGGACCTGCTAACAGGTCTAAAATCAGGAATATAATATGTTTCAGACCTAGAGCTGCGATCGGTAACTTAAATAGTGGGGAGAGGGTGTTACTTTGTAAGGTGTGGGCCATTGGATCCCTGCGTCAGCAGTTCAGATAACCGTGTAGACACAGCACAGAGGTAACTATAAACCATACGGAGGTGGAGCATTATAGCTGTGTCCACTACAGTTATGAAACAAACACCAGGGATGGGCAGGTTATTAATAAACATTTTTGTTAATTTTCAGTTGACAGAAGCACAAGATCAAGGTACAAGCTCTGTGCAACACGATGAAAAAATGGAAGAACCCTTAGACAGGTATGGCTTAACCAAATGACTTGAGCAACTATAAAGGAAATCAGCAGCATAACATGAGACATATTGCAGTTATATAAGTACTAAATCTTCATTAGGCCAGGGGAAAATTCTAGCTTTGATAAATGTACCTGAAAGGAGTAATTTAGGGGAACGGAAATAGTACAGTGAGGAGAGAGCATGTGCTTTCCACGTGGAGCCCTGTGTTCACACCCAATAATGCAAAAGAAAAAGTGTCAACAAGCACAATGAGAAAAATCTTACCTACCAAATCATCTACTTTTTCTAACTTTTAAAATTGTGAGTAGTCTTTCAAAGGTTATGTGACTTTTTAAACAGATCTGTGCAAATAATTATTTTGAAATCAATATTTTAGGATTAAATCAGAGTGTTTACGCATAAAAGAAAATGTGAAAAGTCTCGAAATGGAGATTTTGAGCCAGAATAAGAAAAGGAAGAAACCAGCAAGAAAACATGAACATGCTCGGAAAAACTTGTCAACTGACAGTTTGGTGAGTCCATTTGTTTTTAATTTCTATCGTACTTGAAAGGAGTTCTTGTTTCTCTGCTAGTACGTAGGAATATTTTAGGCACTATGAAAAGTTTCACTGATAAAAACACTTGTTGTAATCGTATTGATACCTCCTTACTAGCAATAGTGACGTCCTCTTAACTTTATGGAAGATAAATGGTTTCATGCAATTCATGACTTTGGCAGTGATATTTTAATGCAAAAGATTTTTATAGCCTAAAATCCCTATTTTACACATACCACATTTGTTTATCCATTTTCCATTGAAGGATTTGAGAGTTATTCCCACACTTCTTTGGGAATAATGCTGATCTGGACATTGATATATTACTGTGTGTCATGAGTCTCAGCTAATATGATACAATAACTTTTAAAATTCCAGGAAATTGAATTGCTGAATCTAATACTTTGAATATCTGTTGCAATGAAAGCTTTTCCATGATATTTTGTAATTTATATGGTCACCAAGAATGGATAGTAGGGCTCTACACAAGCATTTTCCCCAGAGACACTGTATTTCTCTTTGACTGTAAGCAAGGAAAAAGATGCCAGTAACAAAGTAGAAATGGATATTTGTCTTACTGAGGAACTAGTGGTCCTAGCATTGCAGTTTCATGATTTTTCCCCATTGATTAGTGTTTATCAGCCATTTAAACTTGTCCAGTCTAAGAGGAACGCATAAGACTGGGTGACAGTTTGTTGATGTGTAATGAAAACCATGTACCTCTTGTCCAGGCAGAGCAGATTCTCCTGTGGCCCGTGTTCTCCCGTGTGGGAATTAGGACCACAAGGACACATTGTGTGCATGGAAGTGGACATGTGAGGTGGCTCCTTCCACTAACTGATTTCTTAAAGTCACAGCAATTTGATCCATCGAGCTCCATTACACAGATGCTTGTTGCTATGTCTCCTGCCTACCTGTCCCCCAAACTCTCATGGAGCTATAGATGGGTGTTTTTCATAGGTGACTAGATCTGTAGAATATGATGTTGGGATTCAGGATGTGTGATTACCAAGTTGGTCCACCAGTTTCTTTGGCATAGTTCTGGGATCAAGAATGTGATATTAAGATTAAGGGTACGAGTGCTACCTGCCTTAAAGGTGAGTACCTGGATAACATGTAGGGACATAAAAAAGCTTGATCCTGCTGCTGCTGCTGCTCCTGCTTGTCTTCTGGTCCGTGATGCCCCTCTGCAATGCCTCCCTGTTCTGGAGCCAGCCTACTATGAACTGAAACCTCTATAAACTGTGAGTTCTGAACCTTTCCTCTCTTAACTTGTGAGTCTGGTTATTTTGTCTCAACAACAAGAAAAGACTTGTTATAAGGGAGCTACAGAATTCTGCCTAGTGTATTCTATGATGAAATGTGGAGAAACAACTTGTTCTAGAATTCAAATAAATTAGTCCTGTTGTTGTACTATACTTTTCATACACATAACATGCTGACATGTTGATAAGGTGTCATTTGTGAATTAAAACGCCAGGGGCCATCATCTTACTTTAAGTGTCATATACAAAGGTATTGAGATGTTGAAAAATTGGTAGTGGTACCATATACAACTGGAAAATATTCAAAAAAGACAATGTGGTCCATTGGAAAGCAACATTAAAAAAGAAAAACAAGGTGAATTATGATGGGTGGCATTCTAGCAGTGAGGCCTCCAGCCCTAGATTAGAAGATCGCAAAATTCAGATTGAAACCCGTGTGAGTCACTTTGCCATGTGTAGGACTCAGTGCAGAAGGAATCCATACCAAATAATGGCTGATGAGGTTTTGTTCTGCGAGAACTAAACTAAAAGGAAGAAGGGAAAGTGTAAATGGCCCCTGTGCCGAGACATTTTGTGTACCCCAGGCTGGCCTTGAATTTACTGTGCCTCTCCAAGGTGGTCTCATGCTTACAGTAACCCTGTTGACTCAGCCTCCTGAGTGACAGAATCACAGCTGTGTGACACGAAGCCCAGCTTCTGATTTAAATTTTGAGAGATCTTCTGACTAAATTATCAAGACTGCACTTGACCTGAGGAAACTTTTACCTCAGCTTTCCTACAATATCAAACTTTATCAAAACAGAAAACACAATAGTACCTAATAGGAAAGATTTTGTAGAGCTCCCACTGCTGGTGACTGGTGGAGTTGGAACTCTGGCCCAGGCATGCTGGTGTCTGTCTAGATTCTGTTTCTCCAACAGTTCCTGGAGACATCTAGATGTTACTGCAGTGTCATTTCTGTATTGTTATCATTGGCATTGCTCTTAGTCATATAAGCATTATTCATATCATAGTTGATAAATAGTACTTGGAATCCATAAAGTAGGATGTAATGCGTGGAATGTAAAAATACGACTAAAAGGACAGCACAAGTAAAGGGACTTCCTCTTTCTCTCCATTTTACCAAAACTTTCACTTTTATAGTTTCCTGCAAAAGAGTTGTCTCCCCCAGTTGCCCAGGCTGGTCTCAAGCATCAGCTTACCAAGGAGCCAGGAATGCAGGTCCATAGCACTGTGCTAACCTTCTAGTTTTGTCAGTTTGAGGACCTGCTAACAGGTCTAAAATCAGGAATATAATATGTTTCAGACCTAGAGCTGCGATCAGTAACTTAAGTAGTGGGGAGAGGGTGTTACTTTGTAAGGTGTGGGCCATTGGATCCCTGCGTCAGCAGTTCAGATAACCGTGTAGACACAGCACAGAGGTAACTATAAACCATACGGAGGTGGAGCATTATAGCTGTGTCCACTACAGTTATGAAACAAACACCAGGGATGGGCAGGTTATTAATAAACATTTTTGTTAATTTTCAGTTGACAGAAGCACAAGATCAAGGTACAAGCTCTGTGCAACACGATGAAAAAATGGAAGAACCCTTAGACAGGTATGGCTTAACCAAATGACTTGAGCAACTATAAAGGAAATCAGCAGCATAACATGAGACATATTGCAGTTATATAAGTACTAAATCTTCATTAGGCCAGGGGAAAATACTAGCTTTGATAAATGTACCTGAAAGGAGTAATTTAGGGGAACGGAAATAGTACAGTGAGGAGAGAGCATGTGCTTTCCACGTGGAGCCCTGTGTTCACACCCAATAATGCAAAAGAAAAAGTGTCAACAAGCACAATGAGAAAAATCTTACCTACCAAATCATCTACTTTTTCTAACTTTTAAAATTGTGAGTAGTCTTTCAAAGGTTATGTGACTTTTTAAACAGATCTGTGCAAATAATTATTTTGAAATCAATATTTTAGGATTAAATCAGAGTGTTTACGCATAAAAGAAAATGTGAAAAGTCTCGAAATGGAGATTTTGAGCCAGAATAAGAAAAGGAAGAAACCAGCAAGAAAACTTGAACATGCTCGGAAAAACCTGTCAACTGACAGTTTGGTGAGTCCATTTGTTTTTAATTTCTATCGTACTTGAAAGGAGTTCTTGTTTCTCTGCTAGTACGTAGGAATATTTTAGGCACTATGAAAAGTTTCACTGATAAAAACACTTGTTGTAATCGTATTGATACCTCCTTACTAGCAATAGTGACGTCCTCTTAACTTTATGGAAGATAAATGGTTTCATGCAATTCATGACTTTGGCAGTGATATTTTAATACAAAAGATTTTTATAGCCTAAAATCCCTATTTTACACATACCACATTTGTTTATCCATTTTCCATTGAAGGATTTGAGAGTTATTCCCACACTTCTTTGGGAATAATGCTGATCTGGACATTGATATATTACTGTGTGTCATGAGTCTCAGCTAATATGATACAATAACTTTCAAAATTCCAGGAAATTGAATTGCTGAATCTAAGACTTTGAATATCTGTTGCAATGAAAGCTTTTCCATGATATTTTGTAATTTATATGGTCACCAAGAATGGATAGTAGGGCTCTACACAAGCATTTTCCCCAGAGACACTGTATTTCTCTTTGACTGTAAGCAAGGAAAAAGATGCCAGTAACAAAGTAGAAATGGATATTTGTCTTACTGAGGAACTAGTGGTCCTAGCATTGCAGTTTCATGATTTTTCCCCATTGATTAGTGTTTATCAGCCATTTAAACTTGTCCAGTCTAAGAGGAACGCATAAGACTGGGTGACAGTTTGTTGATGTGTAATGAAAACCATGTACCTCTTGACCAGGCAGAGCAGATTCTCCTGTGGCCCGTGTTCTCCTGTGTGGGAATTAGGACCACAAGGACACATTGTGTGCATGGAAGTGGAGATGTGAGGTGGCTCCTTCCACTGACTGATTTCTTAAAGTCACAGCAATTTGATCCATCGAGCTCCATTACACAGATGCTTGTTGCTATGTCTCCTGCCTACCTGTCCCCCAAACTCTCATGGAGCTATAGATGGGTGTTTTTCATAGGTGACTAGATCTGTAGAATATGATGTTGGGATTCAGGATATGTGATTACCAAGTTGGTCCACCGATTGGTTTGGCATAGTTCTGGGATCAAGGATGTGATGTTAAGATTAAGGGTATGAGTGCTACCTGCCCTAAAGGTGAGTACCTGGATAAGATGTAGGGACAGAAAAAAGCTTGATCCTGTTGCTGCTGCTGCTGCTGCTCCTGCTTGTCTTCTGGTCCGTGATGCCCCTCTGCAATGCCTCCCTGTTCTGGAGCCAGCCTACTATGAACTGAAACCTCTATAAACTGTGAGTTCTGAACCTTTCCTCTCTTAACTTGTGAGTCTGGTTATTTTGTCTCAACAACAAGAAAAGACTTGTTATAAGGGAGCTACAGAATTCTGCCTAGTGTTTTCTATGACGAAATGTGGAGAAACAATTTTTATTAGAATTCAAATAAATTAGTCCTATTGTTGTACTATACTTTTCATACACATAACATGCTGACATGTTGATAAGGTGTCATTTGTGAATTAAAATGCCAGGGGCCATCATCTTACTTTAAGTGTCATATACAAAGGTATTGAGATGTTGAAACATTGGTAGTGGTACCATATACAACTGGAAAATATTCAAAAAAGACAATGTGGTCCATTGGAAAGCAACATTTAAAAAGAAAAACAAGGTGAATTATGATGGGTGGCATTCTAGCAGTGAGGCCTCCAGCCCTAGATTAGAAGATCGCAAAATTCAGATTGAAACCCATGTGAGTCACTTTGCCATGTGTAGGACTCAGTGCAGAAGGAATCCATACCAAATAATGGCTGATGAGGTTTTGTTCTGGGAGAAGTAAACTAAAAGGAAGAAGGGAAAGTGTAAATGACCCCTGTGCCGAGACATTTTGTGTACCCCAGGCTGGCCTTGAATTTACTGTGCCTCTCCAAGGTGGTCTTGTGCTTACAGTAACCCTGTTGACTCAGCCTCCTGAGTGACAGAATCACAGCTGTGTGACACGAAGCCCAGCTTCTGATTTAAATTTTGAGAGATCTTCTGACTAAATTATCAAGACTGCACTTGACCTGAGGAAACTTTTACCTCAGCTTTCCTGCAATGTTAAACTTTATCAAAACAGAAAACACAATAATACCCAATAGGAAAGATTTTATAGAGCTCCCACTGCTGGTGACTGGTGGAGTTGGAACTCTGGCCCAGGCATGCTGGTGTCTGTCTAGATACTGTTTCTCCAACAGTTCCTGGAGACATCTAGATGTTACTGCAGTGTCATTTCTGTATTATTATCATTGGCATTGCTCTTAGTCATATAAGCATTATTCATATCATAGTTGATAAATAGTACTTGGAATCCATAAAGTAGGATGTAATGCGTGGAAGGTAAAAATACAACTAAAAGGACAGCACAAGTAAAGGGACTTCCTCTTTCTCTCCATTTTACCAAAACTTTCACTTTTATAGTTTCCTGCAAAAGAGTTGTCTCCCCCAGTTGCCCAGGCTGGTCTCAAGCATCAGCTTACCAAGGAGCCAGGAATGCAGGTCCATAGCACTGTGCTAACCTTCTAGTTTTGTCAGTTTGAGGACCTGCTAACAGGTCTAAAATCAGGAATATAATATGTTTCAGACCTAGAGCTGTGATCGGTAACTTAAATAGTGGGGAGAGGGTGTTACTTTGTAAGGTGTGGGCCATTGGATCCCTGCATCAGCAGTTCAGATAACCGTGTAGACACAGCACAGAGGTAACTATAAACCATACGGAGGTGGAGCATTATAGCTGTGTCCACTACAGTTATGAAACAAACACCAGGCATGGGCAGGTTATTAATAAACATTTTTGTTAATTTTCAGTTGACAGAAGCACAAGATCAAGGTACAAGCTCTGTACAACATGATGAAAAAATGGAAGAACCCTTAGACAGGTATGGCTTAACCAAATGACTTGAGCATCTATAAAGGAAATCAGCAGCATAGCATGAGACATATTGCAGTTATATAAGTACTAAATCTTCATTAGGCCAGGGGAAAATTCTAGCTTTGATAAATGTACCTGAAAGGAGTAATTTAGGGGAGCAGAAATAGTACAGTGAGGAGAGAGCATGTGCTTTCCACGTGGAGCCCTGTGTTCACACCCAATAATGCAAAAGAAAAAGTGTCAACAAGCACAATGAGAAAAATCTTACCTACCAAATCATCTACTTTTTCTAACTTTTAAAATTGTGAGTAGTCTTTCAAAGGTTATGTGACTTTTTAAACAGATCTGTGCAAATAATTATTTTGAAATCAATATTTTAGGATTAAATCGGAGTGTTTACGCATAAAAGAAAATGTGAAAAGTCTCGAAATGGAGATTTTGAGCCAGAATAAGAAAAGGAAGAAACCAGCAGGAAAACTTGAACATGCTCGGAAAAACTTGTCAACTGACAGTTTGGTGAGTCCATTTGTTTTTAATTTCTATCGTACTTGAAAGGAGTTCTTATTTCTCTGCTAGTACGTAGGAATATTTTAGGCACTATGAAAAGTTTCACTGATAAAAACACTTGTTGTAATCGTATTGATACCTCCTTACTAGCAATAGTGACGTCCTCTTAACTTTATGGAAGATAAATGGTTTCATGCAATTCATGACTTTGGCAGTGATATTTTAATACAAAAGATTTTTATAGCCTAAAATCCCTATTTTACACATACCACATTTGTTTATCCATTTTCCATTGAAGGATTTGAGAGTTATTCCCACACTTCTTTGGGAATAATGCTGATCTGGACATTGATATATTACTGTGTGTCATGAGTCTCAGCTAATATGATACAATAACTTTTAAAATTCCAGGAAATTGAATTGCTGAATCTAAGACTTTGAATATCTGTTGCAATGAAAGCTTTTCCATGATATTTTGTAATTTATATGGTCACCAAGAATGGATAGTAGGGCTCTACACAAGCATTTTCCCCAGAGACACTGTATTTCTCTTGGACTGTAAGCAAGGAAAAAGATGCCAGTAACAAAGTAGAAATGGATATTTGTCTTACTGAGGAACTAGTGGTCCTAGCATTGCAGTTTCATGATTTTTCCCCATTGATTAGTGTTTATCAGCCATTTAAACTTGTCCAGTCTAAGAGGAACGCATAAGACTGGGTGACAGTTTGTTGATGTGTAATGAAAACCATGTACCTCTTGACCAGGCAGAGCAGATTCTCCTGTGGCCCGTGTTCTCCTGTGTGGGAATTAGGACCACAAGGACACATTGTGTGCATGGAAGTGGAGATGTGAGGTGGCTCCTTCCACTGACTGATTTCTTAAAGTCACAGCAATTTGATCCATCGAGCTCCATTACACAGATGCTTGTTGCTATGTCTCCTGCCTACCTGTCCCCCAAACTCTCATGGAGCTATAGATGGGTGTTTTTCATAGGTGACTAGATATGTAGAATATGATGTTGGGATTCAGGATATGTGATTATCAAGTTGGTCCACCGATTGGTTTGGCATAGTTCTGGGATCAAGGATGTGATGTTAAGATTAAGGGTATGAGTGCTACCTGCCCTAAAGGTGAGTACCTGGATAAGATGTAGGGACAGAAAAAAGCTTGATCCTGTTGCTGCTGCTGCTGCTGCTCCTGCTTGTCTTCTGGTCCGTGATGCCCCTCTGCAATGCTTCCCTGTTCTGGAGCCAGCCTACTATGAACTGAAACCTCTATAAACTGTGAGTTCTGAACCTTTCCTCTCTTAACCTGTGAGTCTGGTTATTTTGTCTCAACAACAAGAAAAGACTTGTTATAAGGGAGCTACAGAATTCTGCCTAGTGTTTTCTATGATGAAATGTGGAGAAACAATTTTTTCTAGAATTCAAATACATTAGTCCTGTTGTTGTACTATACTTTTCATAGACATAACATGCTGACATGTTGATAAGGTGTCATTTGTGAATTAAAATGCCAGGGGCCATCATCTTACTTTAAAGGTCCTATACAAAGGTATTGAGATATTGTAAAATTGGTAGTGGTACCATATACAACTGGAAAATATTCAAAAAAGACAATGTGGTCCATTGGAAAGCAACATTAAAAAAGAAAAACAAGGTGAATTATGATGGGTGGCATTCTAGCAGTGAGGCCTCCAGCCCTAGATTAGAAGATCGCAAAATTCAGATTGAAATCCATGTGAGTCACTTTGCCATGTGTAGGACTCAGTGCAGAAGGAATCCATACCAAATAATGGCTGATGAGGTTTTGTTCTGGGAGAAGTAAACTAAAAGGAAGAAGGGAAAGTGTAAATGACCCCTGTGCCGAGACATTTTGTGTACCCCAGGCTGGCCTTGAATTTACTGTGCCTCTCCAAGGTGGTCTCATGGTTACAGTAACCCTGTTGACTCAGCCTCCTGAGTGACAGAATCACAGCTGTGTGACACGAAGCCCAGCTTCTGATTTAAATTTTGAGAGATCTTCTGACTAAATTATCAAGACTGCACTTGACCTGAGGAAACTTTTACCTCAGCTTTCCTGCAATATTAAACTTTATCAAAACAGAAAACACAATAATACCTAATAGGAAAGATTTTATAGAGCTCCCACTGCTGGTGACTGGTGGAGTTGGAACACTGGCCCAGGCATGCTTGTATCTGTCTAGATACTGTTTCTCCAACAGTTCCTGGAGACATCTAGATGTTACTGCAGTGTCACTTCTGTATTATTATCATTGGCATTGCTCTTAGTCATATAAGCATTATTCATATCATAGTTGATAAATAGTACTTGGAATCCATAAAGTAGGATGTAATGCGTGGAAGGTAAAAATACAACTAAAAGGACAGCACAAGTAAAGGGACTTCCTCTTTCTCTCCATTTTACCAAAACTTTCACTTTTATAGTTTCCTGCAAAAGAGTTGTCTCCCCCAGTTGCCCAGGCTGGTCTCAAGCATCAGCTTACCAAGCAGCCAGGAATGCAGGTCCATAGCACTGTGCTAACCTTCTAGTTTTGTCAGTTTGAGGACCTGCTAACAGGTCTAAAATCAGGAATATAATATGTTTCAGACCTAGAGCTGGGGTCGGTAACTTAAGTAGTGGGGAGAGGGTGTTACTTTGTAAGGTGTGGGCCATTGGATCCCTGCGTCAGCAGTTCAGATAACCGTGTAGACACTGCACAGAGGTAACTATAAACCATACGGAGGTGGAGCATTATAGCTGTGTCCACTACAGTTATGAAACAAACGCCAGGGATGGGCAGGTTATTAATAAACATTTTTGTTAATTTTCAGTTGACAGAAGCACAAGATCAAGGTACAAGCTCTGTGCAACATGATGAAAAAATGGAAGAACCCTTAGACAGGTATGGCTTAACCAAATGACTTGAGCAACTATAAAGGAAATCAGCAGCATAATATGAGACATATTGAAGTTATATAAGTACTAAATCTTCATTAGTCCAGGGGAAAATTCTAGCTTTGATAAATGTACCTGAAAGGAGTAATTTAGGGGAGCAGAAATAGTACAGTGAGGAGAGAGCATGTGCTTTCCACGTGGAGCCCTGTGTTCACACCCAATAATGCAAAAGAAAAAGTGTCAACAAGCACAATGAGAAAAATCTTACCTACCAAATCATCTACTTTTTCTAACTTTTAAAATTGTGAGTAGTCTTTCAAAGGTTATGTGACTTTTTAAACAGATCTGTGCAAATAATTATTTTGAAATCAATATTTTAGGATTAAATCGCAGTGTTTAGGCATAAAAGAAAATGTGAAAAGTCTCGAAATGGAGATTTTGAGCCAGAATAAGAAAAGGAAGAAACCAGCAGGAAAACTTGAACATGCTCGGAAAAACTTGTCAAATGACAGTTTGGTGAGTCCATTTGTTTTTAATTTCTATCGTACTTGAAAGGAGTTCTTATTTCTCTGCTAGTACGTAGGAATATTTTAGGCACTATGAAAAGTTTCACTGATAAAAACACTTGTTGTAATCGTATTGATACCTCCTTACTAGCAATAGTGACGTCCTCTTAACTTTATGGAAGATAAATGGTTTCATGCAATTCATGACTTTGGCAGTGATATTTTAATACAAAAGATTTTTATAGCCTAAAATCCCTATTTTACACATACCACATTTGTTTATCCATTTTCCATTGAAGGATTTGAGAGTTATTCCCACACTTCTTTGGGAATAATGCTGATCTGGACATTGATATATTACTGTGTGTCATGAGTCTCAGCTAATATGATACAATAACTTTTAAAATTCCAGGAAATTGAATTGCTGAATCTAAGACTTTGAATATCTGTTGCAATGAAAGCTTTTCCATGATATTTTGTAATTTATATGGTCACCAAGAATGGATAGTAGGGCACTACACAAGCATTTTCCCCAGAGACACTGTATTTCTCTTTGACTGTAAGCAAGGAAAAAGATGCCAGTAACAAAGTAGAAATGGATATTTGTCTTACTGAGGAACTAGTGGTCCTAGCATTGCAGTTTCATGATTTTTCCCCATTGATTAGTGTTTATCAGCCATTTAAACTTGTCCAGTCTAAGAGGAATGCATAAGACTGGGTGACAGTTTGTTGATGTGTAATGAAAACCATGTACCTCTTGACCAGGCAGAGCAGATTCTCCTGTGGCCCGTGTTCGCCTGTGTGGGAATTAGGACCACAAGGACACATTGTGTGCATGGAAGTGGAGATGTGAGGTGGCTCCTTCCACTGACTGATTTCTTAAACTCACAGCAATTTGATCCATCGAGCTCCATTACACAGATGCTTGTTGCTATGTCTCCTGCCTACCTGTCCCCCAAACTCTCATGGAGCTATAGATGGGTGTTTTTCATAGGTGACTAGATCTGTAGAATATGATGTTGGGATTCAGGATATGTGATTACCAAGTTGGTCCACCGATTGGTTTGGCATAGTTCTGGGATCAAGGATGTGATGTTAAGATTAAGGGTATGAGTGCTACCTGCCCTAAAGGTGACTACCTGGATAAGATGTAGGGACAGAAAAAAGCTTGATCCTGCTGCTGCTGCTGCTGCTCCTGCTTGTCTTCTGGTCCGTGATGCCCCTCTGCAATGCCTCCCTGTTCTGGAGCCAGCCTACTATGAACTGAAACCTCTATAAACTGTGAGTTCTGAACCTTTCCTCTCTTAACTTGTGAGTCTGGTTATTTTGTCTCAACAACAAGAAAAGACTTGTTATAAGGGAGCTACAGAATTCTGCCTAGTGTTTTCTATGATGAAATGTGGAGAAACAATTTTTTCTAGAATTCAAATACATTAGTCCTGTTGTTGTACTATACTTTTCATACACATAACATGCTGACATGTTGATAAGGTGTCATTTGTGAATTAAAATGCCAGGGGTCATCATCTTACTTTAAAGGTCATATACAAAGGTATTGAGATGTTGTAAAATTGGTAGTGGTACCATATACAACTGGAAAATATTCAAAAAAGACAATGTGGTCCATTGGAAAGTAACATTAAAAAAGAAAAACAAGGTGAATTATAATGGGTGGCATTCTAGCAGTGAGGCCTCCAGCCCTAGATTAGAAGATCGCAAAATTCAGATTGAAACCCATGTGAGTCACTTTGCCATGTGTAGGACTCAGTGCAGAAGGAATCCATACCAAATAATGGCTGATGAGGTTTTGTTCTGGGAGAAGTAAACTAAAAGGAAGAAGGGAAAGTGTAAATGACCCCTGTGCCGAGACATTTTGTGTACCCCAGGCTGGCCTTGAATTTACTGTGCCTCTCCAAGGTGGTCTTGTGGTTAGGGTAACCCTGTTGACTCAGCCTCCTGAGTGACGGAATCACAGCTGTGTGACACGAAGCCCAGCTTCTGATTTAAATTTTGAGAGATCTTCTGACTAAATTATCAAGACTGCACTTGACCTGAGGAAACTTTTACCTCAGCTTTCCTGCAATATTAAACTTTATCAAAACAGAAAACACAATAATACCTAATAGGAAAGATTTTATAGAGCTCCCACTGCTGGTGACTGGTGGAGTTGGAACTCTGGCCCAGGCATGCTGGTGTCTGTCTAGATACTGTTTCTCCAACAGTTCCTGGAGACATCTCGATGTTACTGCAGTGTCATTTCTGTATTATTATCATTGGCATTGCTCTTAGTCATATAAGCATTATTCATATCATAGTTGATAAATAGTACTTGGAATCCATAGAGTAGGATGTAATGCGTGGAAGGTAAAAATACAACTAAAAGGACAGCACAAGTAAAGGGACTTCCTCTTTCTCTCCATTTTACCAAAACTTTCACTTTTATAGTTTCCTGCAAAAGAGTTGTCTCCCCCAGTTGCCCAGGCTGGTCTCAAGCATCAGCTTACCAAGCAGCCAGGAATGCAGGTCCATAGCACTGTGCTAACCTTCTAGTTTTGTCAGTTTGAGGACCTGCTAACAGGTCTAAAATCAGGAATATAATATGTTTCAGACCTA